ATCAGATATTAATTAAATCTCTACTAATGTTATAAACTGAAGAGTTTCATTATTTGAGGGATCGTTGGTCTAATGGTAGCAATGTATGGCTAATGGTCAAAGGTCTGGTTTGAACCCCCTCCTGCTTTAACTTTTCAATCTTTATTTTTTATGAACCACCTAGCTGTCTGGAAATCGGCTTTAATGTGTGGGACAAATATAGAGATTCCGGGTCACCCACCAAGATGAAAATTCCAAACCAAAATAGGCTTATCAGGACAGTCCTTGTCTACATGCTAGACTGGGGTATATAACCTACCACAATAACGCCGTGCTTATCTGTCCTCCTCTTTATTTTAAAAAAGCTTATCGAAGCATCTCTAGTCGAATTAAACTTCTTTTGGCTTGGTTAGAGCATTTATCGAGGAAGGCTTTGGGCTATAAAACACTACTTTGCGACCAATATTAGCAAACAGAGGGAAATTTGGAATAAACAGGGAAAAATAATATATTCATCTTTAAGGGCTTCCATTACGTACGCTGCGAAAACGTTTAAGGATACCAACAAATATATGTATATATGAAAGGATCGTTCTTCTTTAAGTAAAAAAAATCCACGACAATATAGTTATGTCTATTTTTAATAATTTCCAAAATAACTGTTCGACGCGGACCAAGTCGCGGGCACAGCTAGTATAAAATATTTAAATTGACGAAATTCGATTACATAGGCGAGACTCAAACCAACATCCGCAGCGATGAATGTCGCTAGTATATTTTAAAGAACGAATGGACGTAACTGTACGTTCTAAGCACTGCTTCAATAATCAATAGGTGATTAGGCTTTTGCCCTAGCACAAAGGACGTTTTCCCGGATTAAACACAGCCCTTAACGCAGTGTTGGTCTAAGGTTTTGATCCGAGCCCCAGAGGCGCCAATCTTATCTTGCAGGCATTTTATTATTTCTGTTAATTTTAACGACGTTCCTCTAACACCTATATCGTAAAATCACACTTTATAAAAGCCTAATAATTATTAGTGTCTGCTACGAAACAGCTGTAAATACGTATAACTAGACTAACTGCCATAACCTTGTCTCAGAGCATAATAATTGTATTGTAAACACAAAGTAAAATGGCAGACTACTGATCAAATATTCACAGCGTCATAAAAACTGCCGAAACGATCGATTCTTCGACCTTGCCTTCTGTAGTGAATGCTATAAATGCTCATAAAAACGAGCACAAAAACGCGTGACAATGCAAAATTGAGACTCGAAGTATGTAAGAACTGACGGATGTGTGTTAATTGAATCTTTCAAATATTACGCTTTATTTAAGCGGTTTCGTAAACATAAGTACTTAATTTTTGTAAAAAAATAAATGATCACGTTTCAGCCTGTGGCGCAAGGTGTGAATATGTTTCTGTGTCTGTTTTTCAGAGAGTAAAATTGGCTTTCGAGGATTCCAATGTTAAGCAACATGTATGGAACTATAGAAACTGTATTTAAAATGTTTAGTTATTTAAGAATAACAGCCATTGTTAGAAAAAGACACAAATAGAAAATATAATTCTTTCATTTATATTTATTTATACGACATAAATATTTAATTAATCTAAACACAGTAAAATGGTACAGTAATGATAGACAAACGAGCTCTCACTCGATCCTCACTAGCCACTCGACTGCAACAATAGTAGCGCAACAGTATCTAAGTTCAGGCAGACAGTGAATGACCGATTGCGACAAGGCGATACCTTTTACAAATGCCACAGAAAGTGACAACATGCGAACTGGCCGTTCATAACGAGCCGTTATGACCAATGGCTGAGATAAGGGCGTGTTATAATTTTAATGAGCCGCGAATTTAACGGGCATTTCTGCTCACTTCCGATACACGATTTTACATAGGATAGCATTTTGCTTAATGCCCACACATAAATAAATTAAAAAAACCATAAGCAATGCTTGTCTGCAAGTTAAATGTACTAGTTTGTTGTATTGTATAATTATAGAAGAATTTAGGTGATAAAGTATTCAAAATTGTGATATCCGATTTCCCCCGTGGGGCAGGGGGCGAACATTTTTGTCCGATTCACTGATCGTTTTTTTTATTTTACAGGAAAGTAATTCGTTGCTACATGTTGATCAGACCCCGCCCCGACCGATATTATCTTTTATTTCCCCGCGATTCGATTTCAGGACCAACTGCGCGCATATAAGCTTTTTAAAATTAACTAATAAAAATATTAAACCGTTAAACATTTGCGTTACTAACGGTCTTTTAGTAGAATGTTTGTACGAATATTCGCATGGTAGTTTTCGAATTCACATAAAACTATAAATCATCAAGTAATTGTAGAAAATAAAAGTACGGAATAGAAATCAATACACATAAATATGTGTATTATTATAAATAAAATAACCCTGGTCTCCTCTCACCAAGGACAGGGAGACCCTCGTGGTCCCTAGGTAACCGAGTGCTTGACCACGTTGTTTCCAAAAACAGCAACAAATGATACTGCTAATCTTAAGGTGAGGATCTAAGGCACCATTCAGCAAGCACCTTAAGTCACCTACGCGTCTAGTCTGAAAGTCATTTAAATTGGCCCACGGCGAACAGCTCGTAACGACTGATACGTCGTGATAACCTCCGCCGGTGTATTGTTGACGACTTCCGCGGACCATCGAATTATCTCATTTTAATTGCGCTTATATAACAACTACATTAATAGATGACCTAGGCGACTTTCGAAAGGTGTGCGTCTATTTTTAGCCTAGCCTTTGTTTGGTTCTTGATTGTTGCAGTTCGTTTCTATGGTTCACTTTGAAATCAAGACGTCTTTGTTTGACTATTGATAAATTTGTATTGTTAATAGCTGACCTGGCGAAGGTGTTTTTTCATATGAAGTAATTTGAATAATTTTTGATTGTCATTAAAAAAATTGTGACCTTAGAAGAAGATATATACTAACCTAATAATTCTTTTATACATATGTTTTAGTATCTTACATCGTTTTCGCTTCGTAGGCAATGGAATCCCTCAAAATCAATAATATTCCCCATTTTTGCCACATTTCCCACTATTTCTGCGCTCCTAATGGTCGCATCGAGATGTTATATAGCCCAAAGGCTCCCAGTAGTTCCTGATTTTAACGGTTCAAAGAAGTGAACTAGCTTAGCTTTCGTATAGATTATATCGGTATGGTAAGTTTAGGTCAAATCTTCACTACAAATTCTGACGTCTAAGGTCAATTTAACACGAAGTTTTTGCGAGGGTCAAAACGTGTTATTGGCCTCAGAAACGTGTTTTAAATAAATCAGCTATTACTTAACTACGTTAATTTAAATATACATATATTTGGTTTCTCTTTTTCGGGTACTGTATATATTATACTTGTATTGTAGCTTGTTATAACGTCTAATAATTGCATGACGCGTATCTCTTTTTCGAGCACATCCATGCTGTAAAACTTATACAATTAGAAATCAAATTCCTTTCGTGTTTATTTGTACAATAATGTATATACTGGAGAACAATAAATTCTCCACACAGCCCGCCTCTGCCTAATGTACTGAAACGAACGATGCATTCCAGTCTAGATATTAATAAATTGTCACGTATAAATAATACATTAGGTGCATGATTAGACTTTGTACACCTCTTTGTATGCCAGAAATTATGTCAAACATATGAGCAGAAGCTTTTTAGAAGGATCATAAAATATAAATAAAACCACTTTAATGGTTTAAAACGCGATATATTAGTTTAACTCATTTGAAAATGATTTTTAACTTCGGCCCGACGTTTCGGATGCTTTGCAGCAGCTGTGGTCACGGGGAGACGAAACGTCGAGCCGAAGTTAAAAAACATTTTACAATGAGTTTAACTAATATATCGCGTTTCAATCCGTTAAAGTGTTTTATTTAAATGTGTACTACTCGCGTAAACTGTAGACTGTATTTGGGATTATACAATGTTAATAAGATTGAATCGATACAAAAATGAGACAGGTGCATATAAAGTTTTAAACATTTATAAATGCCAATAAAGGATAGTGATTCTATCATTTATGGGTATGGAGGGTGGAGAAGGGAGTAGCGATGTATTATCGGCCCAAGGGTTTGACCCTCACTGGGTGCAACATCTTTCAACTCAATTTATACTTTTTATGTATAATATTGGACTTCGCTTGGATAATCTGGGTATTAAATGGTCACGAACTAACGTCCGGAGAAAAACCGTAAAGTTTAATAGAGTTTCGGTTTCTGACAGTGGATTTTCGTGTAAGTCAAAATAGGTCGACGCCACATTTTTCTTTTTTTGAGGTGTTCATAAGTCAATGAAAATCCGCTTGTCCATTGTTTTCTGACATACAACATGTTTACGTTACCACGAAACGAGGGTTAGATTTTCACTAGCTTTAGCAAAAAGCCCTCCCCCACCCCTCTTTTCAGCGAAAGTAATAAATTAGCTTACGTAATACTTTAACGGCTTCGAAAAGCATTTTATGATAAAACAAAAATTGGTAAGCATGTGTGTTTATTGTTAATAAAACTACCGATTTGTTTTCCTAAAAATTACACCTAGTTACTATTTCTTATTCAGGCCCTGAATCGATTGAAGCATACTCCGTTACCAAACAGATAGTAAAAGTTGACTCTCATTTTGGTTAATAATAGTGCTCGTTGATTTTTTGTATAACGCGATAAGCGATCGAGCACGAGCAATTTTAGTGAGATTGAAAGTAAAATACCTACTTCTAACAGTGTTAAACGTTATAGTGAATGATTATGATTACCCACTTATAAAAACATTTTTACTTGAATCAAAAAGTACCTAAAACCAAAAATATGTTTTTTATGTAATCGGAAACTAAACTTCTACACGCCTTTTAAAAGTATACTAGACCACGCCATATTTATGAAGGCGCGTTGAGAATATTTCTTACAATATTTTGTTCAGTACGTTTTTATTAACCTTGGGAATACCATTATCGGAATAAAAACAGATTAATCCTCATACAACTTTATATTCTGATTCTACACACAAGATCCTGTAAACAGATTTCACTAGGGTAAAAAATATCTATACAAAGCTGACTTATTGTACTTGGCTGTACATGAATCTATATAGAATTTCTAACAATCCGAATATTTTAAATTCCCCGTCTACTATGCTAGCGTAGAATATCTTAAAATATATACGGTGTCGAAAAACTAGGCCTCGTCATATCCACTGTCAATGACTGACGGCAAAAAACTTGACATAGTTTAGCATATCGGAATGCTCGTTAACACGCGTGACCGAAACGGCGCGGGCGCCAAGCGTACGTGGGTATCGGAAAGTTTGCATGCGACATGTATTGATAGCTGAAAAACGTGTGGCCACTTTGACAGCGGGTGGCGTGAGACTTAGCGATCGCATCTAGCGTTTAATTGTTTTTAAGAGAGGTTCATACACCTCTAGAATCAGTACTTGGTGTTAGTTGACAGTTAACTTATACGTGAATAATCCAAATTATTCACAACGTGATGATATTTCAATTAAATAATCGAAATATAAACTGATACTTGATGAAATATAGAATGACCCTAGTAATCTTCGATGTGCAAATAACACGATAACACATGGAAATATATACATACAACCAAAGATAGATTCAACCTTTGTGGTTTGTACCTAGTTCTGCAACAAACGCCGTAAGTGTGACCACACACAATCATGTCTATTCCTAATTATATTATAGCGTATTTTTTTTATCAATGTCATGCTGAAATTTTAATTAACCAAGAAATATTTTACTGCAGTTTCATATTTTGTGTTATTGTTTGCATGTCATTTGAATGTTTAACATAACTTTAATATAACTTTCTATGAATCTCAAAACTTTGACAGTAAGTTTTTAAAGATATCCGATATCCACTCTGTGAAAGTTAGTCTGCTTTAAAAATAGTTCTATTCACAAATGTTACAAATAGTACTAATAAAATGTAAATGATATTGGCAGAGAACCAGAACAAAAAATACATTCCACGTTTCTAAGTCTATCTTTGTAAAAAAGATACCAAAAGCAATAATTAAATATTCATCTTTGCCTTATCACTAAAATGTTATTCTTAGAAAACTTTTTAAAAGTTAAACATTACATCTGATTGTATACAGTTAGTTGACCTCTAAGATAAAAAACATGTGAAGAATTTAATAAATATTGAATATACAAGTAGGTAGGATTTACCAAATTATAAAGCTCAATTAATCACGAAAATTCACTCAATGCCACAAAACCAAGGCAAAATGGAAATGATACTTAAGATTTATAACCAACGCTTCTTCACTTTACAATTCTTAGCCTCATTACGAGTACAATTATTTAATTATATTCTTAAGAAGCCTCCTATTTTCAAGGAAAAACATTCATTTGAAATGAGTAATAAATTTTAGTTTCCATTATTGTCTATTTCAATCAAAGTATCTAAGAGGAAATCTTAGTGTCATTATCTAAAAAAATATGGTACCAATTACATAGTACATAGGTTAATGACACATTTTATCTGTAAATAATAGATTGTTGCTTAAAAATCTTATTAAAAGTTTATACAGCATGATTGTAATAATCCTTTTAATCAATATTATTTCTATTTTCTTACCAATATTAAAAATTAAATCACGTCTCCATACTCTCCTTAAGCTATAAGATGTTGTAGTCTATCCATTTATAACTAGGCCACATAGTATAAAAATATTACATACCCATCAGTTGTCACCGAGTTTACAGATATTGTATCAGGGAATATCATCTCTGTACTATCTCCTCCACTATCCTGTTCTGCTGGTTCTTCAGCAGGCACCGCAACCGTCGCCTCTGCAGGCTCTGATGATGCAATAACATCAGTTTTCTTACTAACATTGTGGAGCCCGGATAAATCTACCTTTGGTTCCTCCTGCTCTACCTGGAGAGCTTCCGACACCACCAATATAAATAAAGCACAGCTGTAATAAAAAATTTTCAGATTATTAATTATTTAAATAATTAATGTGGATGTGTGTTTGTGTATCAACAAATATCTTACCTTGACAGTATAGAAATTGTCAATAACGACGTGTAAATGACACACAGCCCGCCCTTCATCGTAATATCAATAAAATATTCACAATCAAGTTCATTTTGTGTAATAATTTACAGTAAACACATAGTACACTCCTGATTATAATTTATATACGACCGATATTTAACACTGGTATTCTTCTCACAGACACATTTTATACACTAGGATAGCATTTTGATTTAGATTTAACACTTTTTCACGGTAACTTAGCGGAACAATTGCAAAACTGTCGAAAACCGAGCTACGAAGATAGCCAAACTGACGAATATTTTTTAAAGTGTTGAAAATTTTTTTGCGAAATCAATTTGACATGACAGTGTACCAGCTGTTACAGAATTCCAAGTTTTTTCGCCGTTATCCGATGTAAATTCCAATCGTGTATAGCCACGCCATTGGTGAAAAACTGGAAAAAATCACATGTAATTAAAAGTTAACCAATCCAATTTAAACATTTAGTATACTGGCTATTCATTGATTGGTGCTTTGTAATGGTCGCTCCGTTTCACGAGTGTTGTTTCTCCTTCGGAAAATCAATATATATTTATATCTTTTAATTATGTAAGATTATATCTTGTAATGTAATTTCCATTTAGAACTCTTAATTTTAAACACATAAAAATTGTTTGAATACTAGAGAGGACTATCGTAACTATTTTAAAGAAACTCACGATAGCATAAGAAGTATTTAGGAAAGTGGATTCTACCTGGATGACGTTGACAATAATTGACAGTTAACTACCGGTAAACGTCAAATTGTATCATATTTGGCTTGTTTCGTATTTGTACTTTATTAACGGAATCAAATGAGAAATTAGTTTTTTAGCGTTATTACTTTATTAAAATGGAAGCTTTCTTCGCAATACCATTCACCGTCCTTGAAATTCCTAATATAAAGATTAAAAAGCCATCATGGTTGCAAGCTCCTTCTGCTATGACAACGTTTTCGCTGGTGCTACTATCTTACTTTCTTGTAACTGGAGGTTAGTTTTTTCATAATCTTACTAGATTTATGATAATAATTAGTTTTAGTTACACTTATTCATATTAGGGGCTCTATCAGGTTGTAATATAAACTTTTAGTAAACTTTTATATATGTTTTTTATTGTTCGTATTTGTGATCTATATGAATTAAAAGTATGAAATAAAAATATATACTTTATGTTGCAGGCATTATCTATGATGTAATTGTAGAACCGCCTAGTGTTGGATCAACAACTGACGAACATGGACATAGCCGTCCAGTTGCATTCATGCCCAACAGAGTCAATGGACAGTACATAATGGAAGGTTTGGCTTCAAGCTTCCTGTTCTCTCTGGGTGGACTAGGCTTCATTATTTTGGACAGAACGCACAACCCATCCACACCAAAGTTAAACAGAATTCTGCTTATATCTGTAGCATTCCTCTGCATACTTGTTTCATTCTTCACGACATGGATTTTTATGAGAATGAAGTTGCCTGGATATTTGCAGAACTGATTGTACTAGTATTTTAAGTCACAATTTTTTTAAATCTTAATAAATTTTTTATTCCAACTTTTAGTGTTTTTCTAATATTAATAAAGATTCATATAATTTACCTTAAATAAATAAAAACATGGTTTCAATTAGAAATGTTTACTACAGAAATTATTTTACTATATGAGTCTTAAAAATAAAGATTCAAGGGTCTAAATTAATTTTAAATTATTACTTTGTAAAATATAGAGAACACAAACAAAATGTATATATAATTTTCTAAATAATTGAACTAAAGGGAAGACAATCTCAACACCAAAAGGTTAGAGTAAAATAAAATTTCCAAGCTTTAATGTGTCCTCCAAATATATCCAGTTGGAATCATCAGATTTCATTAGAGATTCTAGCATGTAAAAGTCCTATTGTATTTATAGTCTTATCCTGAAGGAGCTGCAACAGAGGACAAGTCATATTAAAACAATGTAACTGACTATGGAGCTATATTAATATTACTACCTCACTTAATTGATTCCAAGATAATCGTCCTAATGATTCAATTGAATCATAGGAATAGCTATTATAATGACCAATCAGTTGCTGCTATAGAGAGAATTATTTATGTAATATAATAAAACAATCATTTAGTTATAGTGTCATTAAATTTCACTATTTTTAATCTTCCCATCGCTTACTCTTTTGTCTTAAGTGACTAAAAATTTTTTTTTTTAATAATATGCAATTTTATTTATTTCACTAGAGACAATTTACATCTCAATGTCATTCATAAGGGAAAAGTAAATATGAATTATTACTTACTGTGAAAAATCAGAACTCTTGTCTATAATGTGTTCAAACTCAGCAAATGATAAAGCCCCATCATCATCCAAATCGGCTTCTTGTAGAACATTTTGTATGAGACCCTGGATTTCAGACTCACTTAACTTTAGCTCAGGTCCACACAACCTCTCCACAACTTCTCGGAGGTCAGATACTCCAATCATATCATCTCCATCGAAATCTAAAAAATACTAAATCCATACTTCCTGGACCATTGGGATACAATGGTAAATCACTATGTCAACCTAAAACTACTTTTGTCATTAAGATTTGGTTTGTTATACAAAAAGTCTGCCTTATAGAGGTGGGAAATAGGAATAACACTTTTAAGATTTTAATATAGTGTGCAAATTCTTAGCTTATGAGATATATTTACCAAAAATTCTAAATGCATGTTCAGCTTTGACTGACTTAGGTGCATTTCGACTAAAGACTGACATCATGTCAAGGAAATCCTCAAATGTGCAGTCACCATCATTACTTGAACTGAAAACTTTGCAGATTCTGTCTCTGAAAGGGTTCACCCGTAGTTCTGGATATTGTAAGATCTTGGCCATTGGTAGCTTAGCATTTTTATTGTGACCAACTTTCTCTGGTGCCAATTCCTTGAATTTCTGATGTGCACTGTTTTACGACAGATTCGTAATTAGAAAAAAAACTTTTTATATTAGTAACTTATGTAAATAAATCTCTATATAAATATTTATTTCATTTTGCCTTTATTAAACTCAGTGAACATATCATTATTTTGATTTTGTAACTACACTGCTCTTCATACTCACTACAATACTTCCGACTTCGTGAAATAGGTCAAGTCCTGAAAATTAGTCACATAAGATATATTAACTATACAAATGTTATGAACATAAAAGAGAGTTGAAGGAAATACTGGAAAATGAAGTTTCTAGCATTATTTAGAAATATTATATTGTAGTGATCATCCTAATTAATACAAGGTAAAGAAAAAAGTTGAAAGACCCAACCCAAGCTTTGTTACCTCATAATCTTGGAGTTCCTCTTCAGTGAACTGACTTCTTCCTTGTCCCATTGCTACTGCTGTGCAACTTTTCACTACTAATTTATTTTAATTCATGACCAAATGAATAAAATTTATAATTTCATATGCGATACTCGAGTCAACACGTAAACACAATCTAATTTTCAAAATAAACAAATGTGACAATTGACATATTTTTTAATCTGAAAGTCCTGCACAGGTAACCATTTACATATTATGTTCTTACTATAGACATGCAAAAATAATTATTACAAATACCCTATATTACAAAGTATTTAATAAAATTTGCGTTTTACGATAGATAAATAAAGATAGATTCTGTTATTTACTATATTATATACGTTGTGTAAGGCATTGCTTTATAGTCTATTCGAGTTGTAGAAATTCGTGATAGATTGATTTCCATTCATGTCCATATTTTGTTCTATTTTATCATCATTCGTTTGATTATACAACGAACCTCTTTTGTAAGGTCCGCGTGGAATAAGCTCACATAGAGCTGGGTAAGTATGATTGCAATTAGTAGTTCTCCAAGTATGCTGTTTGGTGAGCAGCACACACTGGTGGTATGGATTCCTTCTTGGATGATTTGGTGCCCATGCCCGGTAGGCCGTACAATCAAGGCGGTGTCCTGGGAGAAATTTAATGTAAAATATATTAAACATCATAATAATCTGTTGAGTAATAAAATAAAGATGAATATGGTTAAGAATATAATTGGCTGACACATATGTACTTACTTTTTTTACATCGGGCAATTTATGTTTTATGTTTTTATGATGGAACTATAATTTTCCTTTTGTGCTTAAATAGTATAATATTTACCAAAATAGAAGAGAAGAAGTACCTTAACCGTAAAACACGACGCCATTGTAAAAGTATATTAAAGAAATATGTTAATTTGAACCAAACTTACCACTCAAAATATGAAACACAGTACCATTTTCTTTTTTAACCCCAATAAAAGCGGAGGTAATACTAGCCCCAGTCAGAACCTGCGCAAGAGCATCCGTTCTCTGTTCGCTCGTTACATCTGCGAGTGTGCCACTCAAATTTCTACACTCAATTAATGCGTTCGTATAGTTTAATTTCTGAAAGAGAAGGTTGAACATCCCAATTCCTGGAACACAGGTAGTGTTCACTGTAGCTGAAAGGATAGTGATGCATATGTATATTACGGTAAAACAGAGTATTCGATAGAATATTTTACGAGTATTGCATAGTATATGAAAGTAACACAATCACGTCTTTTAAATTGAGGAAAAAATAAATACTGTTGCTAACTTTGAGGAATGAATATTAAATATATAAACAATTATACATCAACAGGGCAAGTAGTAACACAAAAAAAAATATGAATGTAACCGTGTTTTGAAAACTTTAATATTTTTCACATGTTATTGCACATGGCACTATATAATTTAAAAATCTAAAATAAATGGAATTTTTTTAACATTTCATGAGAGGAGGACTCGGTAGCTCAATTGGTAGAACAACAGCACGGACCGCATACGATACCGGTTCAAGTCCTGCCCGAGTATTTATTTTCGAATTTTTTTTCAATTTATTTTCGATTTCTAACCGTGTTTTGTTAATCTTTCTTTTTACATTTTTTTTATATTTTTAATTATGAAATGTAGAAAAAATATTTACAACCTGTTCGTGGTCGACTCACGTAAAATACATGCTATAATATCCAACCATAATTATCCAACAAATATGTTTCAAAAAGTGAATATAAAACTTACGAATAGGATTAGCATATAGACTGTAATAGTCAAATCTCGTATCATTAACCAATGACAATCCACCTTCAGCTTCAGCACACTTCAGGACCTCACAAGGATATTCCCCTTCTCCTGTACTATTCCAATTTGGACTAAAGTTCAACGCCAAGGCTTTCTTTTCGATGCCAAGTCTTTTGCAGCTAGTCAAAGAGAGGAACTTGGCCCTCGCTGCTACGCCAAGTGTTGATCTACGACACTTTTCAATCAAATGGTATTTCGGGACGTTTGTCGATGTCTCACATTTCAAATTTGCACTGGTTATTAATGATATTGATAATAATAATATTATTAACATTGTTTTCATCTATATGGATGCTTTTTGTTATATTTCATATAAATTACTAGCTGTGTCCGTGTAGAATAGTTGTTTTGGACATCCAAATTAATTTTTGCAAACCTCCTCCTTATGTATTTAAGCTGTTTCCCACGACGTCGGTCGCGTTCCGTCCATTTTGCAAGTTAATCTTGAAAGATAAACATATTATAGTGTGGCGGACATTTTTTTAGATATACAGATATAGTTTAAACATACAAACAAACTCCTTAGCTTAATTTATTAGTATAGATAGATATAGATAAAAAGACACCAATTATCAACATATTGTAATCAACACTGCTCATATATACTAGCTGTTTTCGGTATGTGCAATCTATCGAACTGAAGCCCTCGAATTGTAAATGGCTTTCGACTATAAACCTCCGACACGTCATCTCACAATGACACAGATTGCACTAAAAGTCTATCTCAACAAAGCGAAATCAAATGAAAACAGTCCCATTTAAATGACTGCCTTTATATTCCAATGAAAACGAATCAAATTGTCTACAACGGATATGTCCATCCGTCGTGACAGAATAATCGCCTGGACCTAATTTGATTTCTCATTTTACTTTCAACAGACCACCCGTCATCTGAATAGGAAAGCAGTGAAAGCTGTTTATGTGTTTTATTATAGCATTTGTGACGGTTTAAAACACGAATTTTATTACATAATTAGGGCAATGCTATCACGGGAAGAAACTACCCAGCAGTATGTATAAAGCGTAAGCGTATAAGCGGACGCGTATATCTGATACAGGTTTGTTTGGTTTGACTGACCTCTGAAAAATTCATTATAATTGTACAACATTTAATTAAACGTTTTATTAGAACATAGAATAAGGAAGCGAGAACATAGAATATTTTAATAATAATAATTATAAATATTGTTTTAAAATTGAGAGATAGGAAAAGGAAAATTAATGACTAAATTGCAATGTCAAATGCATAATATATGCGTATTTATTATAATTACTTTACTTTTAGGAGAGACATGGTTATCTAATTGATTACTATATGGTTAACCATATGAAGATTTTAATGTAATTAAAATTAGATTATGTAAATATACTTATTACAATTTAGGCTTAACGTAATAAAACGATTTTATTGTGACTGTACTACAATTATCTCTTATACTTCATCGAGGTTTTGACTTACCTTTGTTGGTTTTCGTCGAGAATCTAAACAGACCTATAGATACAAGTAATGTCTTAACAATAGCGTTAATGAGAAACATTCAAAAAAGTTCTCATGCTTCCACGTACTTACTGCCTCCAATAACTTTTTAAAAGGCGTCACAGACGTGACCGTTCAAAACTGTCAAAAATCTAGACGGACAGTTTTTAAAACGCAACATTTGGAGATGAGTTTTACTGCGATTGAGAATAATTTACAATAATACAATTTGTTTGTGAGAATCTAGAGAATGGGTTGCTTCTACTCATCAAGAAGATTGTCAGAGGTTGGTGTTACGATTATTTACTAACGGGAATAGTAATTTAAGATTTAAGTTTGTGTACCTACTTAGGTAATAAATTATGAGTCAGCAAATAAAAAATTAGCCAAGCAAAAAATATTCGAAAACCATTAAAAGGTTTGTCTCTAATTTTAAGTAAGTTGAAAAGCTCTGTTAAAAATTAGTCTACGGTATTAAAACTATATAAATTTTTACCTATTATTTCCCTGATTTTTTTCATATATCTTGTGTCTATGAAAAGTGAAAAATAAAACAAATCAATAAACAACAAATAAAGATAGGTAGGTATATTTAAATTATTTTATTGTTATGATAGAGGAGAACAGATAAGCTTGGGGTACACTTGATGAAATGGTAATTTGCAATTTGAGGCAGAAACGCCGATTAAAGTTGACAGCTTCTTCATCTGTGAATGGTGGTTCGCGATCCGGGCGGAATTTCGATATTCCCACCGCCCATTTAATATCTACATTTCCACAAATTCGACATGTTTCGGAAAAATTATATTACGAAATTGAAACCCTTGTTGCCATAGATGGTTACCAAGACCAACTCACCCCGCCAAGGATACCTAAATCTTAGTTTTTATTACATGTCTCTCTTGTGTTCTTTGCATTAACGAAAAGCCTATATACTATCCGGAATCGGATCGATTGAGAAATTCCTATTTTTGAGTCGTTTATAAAAAATAAAGCGAGTAAAATAAAGAAGTATTCAGGAAGACGTTGTCTACGACATGTCCCCAATACGGCATCTGCCCGTGATCTTCGTCAACGGTGTTCCGGGCGCCGGGAACCAGACTGTGGCAGAGACCATGGTAAACATCACAGGATACATGACTATCAGGCCAGGGGAACTGATCAGGGAGGAGGCGGGGAAGGACACCGCGAGGGGGAGATTGATATCTGACAAATTGCAGGCGCAGGAAGATGTCCCAGAGGTAAGAGTATGGCTCTGTGACTATTCCAATTTCCCCTATGGGGCGAACGGAACGTGGTGCTAGGCAACGCGTTGAATCATAGAGTTACAGAGGTGGAATGTCTCTAAGAATATCAAGGACCGTAGTCTCAATAGCATTTCCGTTTAATTATGTGTGGTAGGGACATAGACACAGGAAGAGAAAATAATGAGAACAATGGTCTCTTTTAACGAAACTGTATATCTAAAACTATCTAACTGTCAAAAGTAACATAAGATCTACTTCCCATAATTACTGTGCGTAATACGATTCCAGCAACTGACAGTAGACCTGATAAAAGAGACGATGCTATTAAACCAGGACGCAAAAGGTTTCATCTTGGTCGGGTTCCCGAAAAACCCTCGGATGTCCAATATTTTTAACAGGCAGGTCAAGTGGCCCGAGAAAATTGTTGCTCTAGAAGTGGACAATGAGGTAAGACATCATCTCCTATAGACTAAGCTAGGACATTTATGTTTGTTAAAGATGTATGTAATTAAGATGATAATAATCTGTTAAATTAAACACTTTTTTACGAATAAACAAGCAAAATATATTAGTGAATGAGTAAAAATAGAAAATAAGCAAAATATGTCAGGAGGTAGTTAAAATGAATATATTTTATTTTAACTACCCCCTGGTGTTACGGTGGGGACCCCATCAACACGACTTACGGTTTCGGGTTTTAAACTGTTAAAAAGTGTTTTATTTAAATGTTTACTACTTGCGTAAACTACAGATGATACTAAAATATTGTTTTTTTTTTATTAACTGTAATATACAGTTAAAATCTGTCTACCTCTATCATAGAGAAACAGCTGTTACGGGTAGTTGGACGGTACCTAAACCGGGTGATGTGTGTTGCCCCTTATCGAGATGATAATACTTTCGTTTGGTGCCAGAGCAATGGATGGAATCATTGAAGCTGTAAACAACAAAGCAGTTCCCTAATTTCCCTCCATAATTTAAATACAGTTACTATGGCAACCGTTGACACTCCTGACATCTTTCGACAGGTAGCAGCAGCACGGCTACAGAGTAAACTATCGGAGCTCGGTCGACCGGAATCCGAGATCAACGCCGCTAGACAAATCGTAAAACAAGCCGCGCACAAAGTCAAAAACGTACACAAGCGTTTCGGAGGACACGTTGTTACGGTAATTTAACATAACAAATTCGACACGGACATTCGCAAGAAGTTCCGTAGAATTAACTACATATATATGGAACTGAGCAACGGGTCGTAGATCGATCACTCGGTCCAAAATTTTTCTAATAAATTTATAATTCTTCTAAAACATGTTGATTTCGTCTGGATATCTGGGTGTGCAATGGGTGGTAGGAATATCGAAATTTCGCCCGGGTCACAAACCACAGTCCACAGATGAAAAAGCCGTGAAGTTCAATGACCGCCTCTATCATAAATAAGTTACGTATTTTTGTAGTGTAAACTTAATTATATCAAGAGGTTCCTGCTCTCGATTTGAGTTGAAATTTAAACGAGACGTGTGTTAGGTATTACATAACTGTTTTTAACACAAACAATTCATATACAAACCCACCAAATTTAAATAAAACACTTAAACGGCCTCAATTCTGTAAGGACCCGGCCAGTTTCGCCAAATACCAACTTCGACGGAACAGATGGCGCTAGCGTAGCAATTTTTTACTTTGACGTCAGAGACATCCTCATCAGTCTTACCGTGACCACGGCTGCTGCAAAAGATCCGAAACGTGGGGCCGAAGTTAAAAATCATTTTCAAATAAGTTTAACTAATATATCGCGTTTTAAACCGTTAAAGTGTTTTATTTAAATGTGTACTCTCTAAACGCAGTATTTAACCCACCAAATTGAAATTCTCTACTTTGGCATCGAAATAATAATTAAAATAGCTGTGCGTATAAGTTTTTTACTTGATCAATTTGTTGACAGCTGGACAGCAGCGGAAATCCCAAGGCTCTAGCTACTACGCTCAAAGAGATCCTGTCAGATACGATTGAAAAGAGCCAAAGGCACGAAGCACCAGCCACAGCGTCAGCCCCCGCCATGATGACGAGCCCAGATCATGAGACGGAAGCGCAAGTCGCGTGATTTGATAGATATTATATGTTTTATTCTTATTTGGGTGTTTTATTTGATGATTGCACAACGAAGATAGAATAACGATTACACAATTTTCACAAGTTACAATGCACCATTTGGTACAATTGAAAATTGTTGTACTATCTCAAGAACCTGTAGGCACTTAGTGACTACAGCCTGACCCCGTTAGATGACTTGGTTTGGTTAATACTGAGATGTCATCAAAACATATTGTACTTGCTCATGTGTGTGGCTATGTAGCACTACCACACATAAATAGCGTGTATAAATACCGATGTCAGTGGTTAATAAAGATTACAATTAGAACATGCAACAAACTACATTATGTAGTACCTTCGCTACATTGGTGACCCCGACGTGAAATCCTATTGGATTTCACGTCGGGGTCACGTTAAAAAAAAATACGACACGGGCAGGACTTGAAACGGCATCGAGAGCATTCCGTGCTGTTCAATTTTTAATTTAGATACTGCCAACAGGCGCTATAACATGAGAAAATAATAAAAAAAAGTCGAACTTATATATTGTCTTTTAAAATATTGAGTTCCATATTAAGAATTTCCAAGCCTTTTAAAAAGACTACAACGTAAAAGTACTATTTAACGAATATGTACGTAGTTTATTATAGTATCTGGGAGTCCCCAATATAATAATCATATTAATAAAATTGAAAAAGTTCAAAACAAATTCTTAAAATCGTTAGATTTTAAGGAATTGTAATGATTGGTTCCCACAGACACAACCCAACCCCAAGGGAACCCCGGGGATTTTTTGGTGGTTTTTTTTTTTTCCAAAAGTTTTTCCCCCCCCCCCTTTTCCGGGAAAATGGTTTTTTTCCCCCCCCCCCCTTTCCCCGGAAAGGGGAATTTCCCCCCCCCCTTTTTTTTTTTTTTTTTTTTTTTTTTTTTTTTTTTTTTTTTTTTTTTTTTTTTTTTTTTTTTTTTTTTTTTTTTTCCCTTTTAAAATTGTTTTCATCGATGTTTTAGATATAGCAGTAAGCAGGAAGTAATCCTCTTTTGTGTATAATAAAAATACTGGCCGTTACGAATACTTTTTAAAAATTTCAAATCAAATCGACAAGCGACGTACGTCTTTTCGTTGTCATTTGTCACAAAACGCATCGATTTTAAAAACAAAAAACTGAATCAGTTCGCCAAAAGTCATCAAGCATCTAAGATCTAAAGGATTTTTATTGTTGAACCGGCGAAAACAACTGTAAAAATAGCTACGCTCCGCAAATCGGTGATCAAAGTTATGAAAATCAAATTGCGTAAGTTTTTAAAGTTTTGACACACTAAATCAAAAAACTTTCGCCGTTTGACAAAAAATGACTCAAACTTCGCTGACAATTTTTTTACCCGCTCTTTGGTTAGACAAGCAACAGACATTAATTGGATAACACAAACACAACAATACCCCAACCTGACATGCTTGTACCAACGGATATCGTAATGAAATTGCATTTTTCGGTAGCTTCGTGTATCTATATAATGTTTTATGGTTATTTAAATAAATTCTGTACCGTTGTTTATCTCAATATAAAGCAATATCTTCGCAAAGATTGTACGATATTAATCATTAACATTGATTTTTTTTTGTCCTGCCCTTTACACAAGTAATCACATTTTAGCTATAAAGAAATGAAGTAGAACAGCGTACATTTCAGCTCGGGACCGTTTCCCCTCCACGTCCTCAAATGAGGATTTGGACACGAGCCCCGATTGGGGGGAGGTTCGCCCCATGATGATGCCCCGCCTGCCCCCACCACTCCATGCGCCCCCACATCCCCAGCATCACCCTCAATCGCATCACCCACCACCTCAGGGGGTAATAGTGGGTGCAGTCAGGAAGCGGAGGGGAAACTTACCGAAGAACTCTGTGAGGATATTGAAGAGGTGGCTCTACGAACATCGATATAACGCTTATCCGAGTGATACAGAAAAGTTGGCTTTGAGTCAAGAGGCTAATTTGACAGTTTTGCAAGTAAGTTTGCCTTCATGAGAAAACAATAAGTTTAAGGGATAACAAAGTCTCGTGGTGTTCTTGGACACGCAACAAACTGTACATTGTTTCATTACCATGTTTTAGGTATGCAATTGGTTCATAAACGCGCGCCGGCGCATCTTACCAGAAATGATTAGACGAGAAGGCCACGATCCACTGCACTATACGATATCAAGGCGTGGACGCAGGCAATTGCCGGGCGTAGGCTTAGCAGGGTCAATGGGGCAAATGGGGCATATGGGGCATATGGGGCCAATCAAGGCCCAATGGGACCTATGATGGGTTATCCTTCAACCTCAGGACTAGGCCTCCCGCCTGGGCCTATTATGATGCCCTGGAACGGAGTTGAGGTTCAGGTTTGTTGTCGTTTATATATTATATATGATAATTTGATTTCTCTAAATCGTAAAAGTGAAATGCCGCCATAACGGGCAAAAACATTTCTACGTGTTTCATTAATCCATTTTAATCACAGTACGAATGAAACAATTTATCGTTTGCCCGGTTTTTGAACCCAGGACCCCTCTGCCGATAAACTTTCTAGAATCGAATAAAATACTACAGTTCTTATTCAAAACTTTTAAGTAAGTTTTTCAAAGAACTTTGCTTTTTTTTTTCAAGGCTTATTCAGGTATATGACGTCATTGAATTTGTTAAAACAGTATGACGTTTTATTTTTGACTCTCCACCCTGTTCCTGTTACATTCTCCAGTTACGTCTTCCTGTATCCCAATGTAGAATATAGTGGACACTACCCGGCCGCATGACTACGGCGACGGTCTGCTGGTGTACCGCGACGAACCAGAATTGGGGGATGGCGAAGAAGGCTATTCCAGTACCATCAGTGAAGAGGAGGTGAAGTATGACCCCTCTGTATGGCAGAGCGTGATAAGATACGGGCCGGAGGACAGAGAATTGCATGCAAGGTTTGTTAAGCGAAAATATTGAAGAATTGTTTAAATAGAACAATACGGTTTAAAACGCGATGTATATTCGTTAATTTATTTTAACTACGGCCCGACGGTTCGGACGCTTTGCAGCCATCGTGGTCACAAGGAGTCAAACCGTTAGTGTTTTATTTAAATGTGTGTTACTCGCGTAAACTACACAGAAATAAGTGGTTTATCTTCAGCATCAGTTAATATTAATTCAGAAACATGGTATTTCATTCATAATTCACATTATGTCGATATAAAAATGTCTAAAGATTGTCGCTCTTTGCTTCTCAGATCCCCGGCCGTAGTGACCGTCACCACTGATGAGGTCTCGGAACTCGGCGGCGAAGGAACGGTGTGGACCCAGCTGACCCCAGTCCCACCTCGTCGGCAGGTGAGCCCTCCTCCGCCGCCAGTTGCTGTCGAGCTTGAAGTCGCCACCACTGACATGTGGTGCCACACTTAGTTTGACATTGTAGGTCCGAAATAGGGGGGACACTTGGGGCTATCACACGTTTTTAAAGTGGTACAAATACTGAACAAATTTGTTCTAGGTCTAACCTACGGAACTTTTAATTAGCTTAAAGTATAGAAATTATGTGCAGGCGACGTCGGTGTTAAAACTGATTTAAATCATCGTTGTAAAGACTCGTGTAGAGTAGATTTTCGACTATTGAAAAGGATTTTTGTTGTAATCGAGTGTTGTTTAGTTTGGTTAAATAAAAAATTTGGCTAAAATTATCTTTTATTTGAACGTTTTAACGCCGGCATCACCTGATACGAGGGTTCCTTTACCATAGGATTTGAGTGGAACCTCGGTTTCAGGTGGTGCCTTGGGACCGGGAGAAGTTTAAGTGTCTCTACCTTCTCGTGGAGACGGCGGTGGCTGTTCGTCAACGAGAACGGGAACGGGGCGAAATGATTATGCCCTAGTAGCCATTTTGCTATAAAATTTAAGAATAAATAAATAGGTTTACTTACTACAGTTAAAGTACTACGAAGAAATAAATGTAATTTTTTAATTATCATTAAAAAAGAAATACCTACAGTAAGGTGAGAAATTGGACTATAAATAGCACATGTGTTGAAATTTTCATACGTAGCGTATTTAAATAAAACACTTTAACGGTTTAAAACGCGATATATTAGTTAAACTTATATGAAAATGATTTTTAACTTCGGCCTGACGTTCCGGATGCTTTGCAGCAGCCGTGGTCACAAAACTCGGGCCGAAGTTAAATATCATTTTCTAAAGTTTTTTCCTTAAAGTGTTTTATTTAAATGTGTACTACTCGCGTAAACTATAGACAGTATTTACGTAGCGTATTTTTAAGTACAACGTTTTTATATCATAAAACATAGGGTATTATCGTTAGGAACGAGCTTTTAATTTATTATCTCTAAGAAAATGCTATTTTTATAAACTCATTTCTACTCATCAATTTAAGAAATAATCTCAATAGTTTAAGAAAGTTTTTTTTTTTCTATATTAAGTTAAAAGTAGACATCCAAGCTATATTTAATAATAATAAAAGTTTCATTATAATTAATTTTATGGTTTGTTTATAAATATATTAGCTAAGATTTTAATTTAGTACTATTGGAACGACATTGAAATGGGGTGATTGATCGACGGTCTGAGTAATTTGTTTGTACACTTGCACAGCAAGAGAATACTGTGAGGAACGATATGTACATACTAGAAAAATGGTTTGACAACCTATGTCATCAGCAGGTCAGCGTAAAAGGTGATTACTATTAAAAGTATTCATTAATAATTATAGGTATTAATGTGGCTCTTAGGTACAAATTTCCTTCTTATGGAGAAGTTTTGCTAGAGCCGGCCTAACGATTACCGTCACTGAGTGGAACCAGACCTTCACCCAATAGGCTTGGAGCTCTACCATCACACACCTACTCTAATCTCTAGAAACCTAACCCAGGACATCGACATCTACAGTCGAGTAGGTACACTAGCAAGTAGGCCAACGGGACATAATGTTTTATGGTAAAATAAAGTGACATGAACAATTAAAAATATATTTTATTAAAGGCCGTCTTTTTTTAAATAAATGTGGGTATGTACAACTGCGCGTGCGGTGTTTAGGCAGTGACCAGCGGGTCCAGAATCTGCTGCACTTGAGCAAAGATCGAATCTACGTTGTCCTCGGCGTTTATCTGCAACAAAAAAATAAATGAGATACAGATTTATCAGGTGTATTGTAAATTGTCACATTTTCTCGAGATCGAATTAAGAGATCAGTCAGTTACAAATTTATAAAATTTTTAATGAATTTGTTCTTCACAAATTTTATTTGCTTTTAACTTATATAGCCTTACCCTCTTAATCTTATCCGGGTACTGGGCGAGCACTAGATCGTTGTTCTCGAGGAAGGTCTTGAGCCGTAGCTTGATGGTGTCCTCGTTATCATCAGCTCTGCCTGAACTTGCAGCGCGTCCCAGAAGCCGCTTGGTCAGCGTCTCCGTTGACGCTTCGAAGTAGATTATCACCTGAAGACGATCAGAGGTTTTGAAGACGCACATATGTTTAAACAAATGTTTATTCCTTGTGTGAAATCCCGAAGGCAGACGTGTGTTTTTTGTCACTGACCGATTTTATGTAAAGTTGCGACTACTTGTTGATCAGACTTCTATATCGTACCGACCGAAACGGATCCCTTGCCATCGAACCTACGACCTTTCGTGCTTAACGAAGGGTAAGACAATTTATTTACCGACACCAATTTTGAAAAGTTACAAATACTTAATTAGAGTTATTTATTAAAACAATTAAACTATCTATAGTTTGTATTGTGAGACTGTTTTTTATCTCGTAAAAGGTTGCTCAATATGAATTGTTCTCGTTTTCTTTAAAATTATTTGTAATCTATGAGACGAAAATAAATAACTTCAACCTAGTAAGCTAGATTGAAAGATAACATTGTTCTAGTCTCTATTATATTTATTTTTTACCTCAAAATAATCATTTTTTACAAGGTGCTTGAAGAATTCACATTTATCCTCTCTTTCTACGTCAAGTAACTCACAGTAACTGGTGCGATGGCTTTCTCGAAGGCGATGCCCTGAGACTTCTCGCGAGGGTAGCCGTCGATAAGGAAGCCCTTGGACTCTTCAGCTCGGGCTATTATGGCCTCCTTCAATAGATCTAGCACGACGTCGTTGGGGACTAACTCACCTGGAACCATAAAAATTTAGCTTTAATGACGACCGGGATAGAGAGTTATTAAAATAAAACACTTTAACGGTTTAAAACTCGAAATATATAAGTAAAAATTATTTTAGCCATACTTTTAACGAATACATTTCGCGTTTTAATCCGTTAGGTATTTATTTAAATGTGTACTATCTCATCTCATCTGTATTATCAGATAGTATCTCATTGAATTATTGTTTTTATGATAAGGTAAGGTATAACATTTTTTTTAATAACCCGCTCCGCCGGTTCAAATCCTACGCGTGTCGTAAATTTTTTTCAGTCTAAAGTCAATTTTGAATTTATTTTGTTTTTATATGTCTCTACATACCGATCATTTTAATGATATCAAATATTTAATTGTTGTATACAATAACTACTTTTTACGTAGTTTGCTATTTTTCACTTACCCCTTTCCATAATGGCAGTGAGACACTTCGCTCTATCTGAACCAGTCTTGACCTCTGCCCTCAGCAGATCTCCAGTGGAAAGATGGGTGAAGCCATACTTGGCGATAATCTTCTCGCATTGTGTTCCCTTGCCAGACCCTGGACCGCCCAAAACCCACACTATTGGTTTCTTGCTTGTGTCAATTGGAGCCTGCAAATGATAGAAATATTGAGAGAAAGATAGATAAAATATATGCAGTACTACATATTTTATTTAATAAATAATAATAAATTAATAACAGTCTAACGGTTTCAAACGCTATATATATTGGTTAAACTTATTTGGAGATTGTCTCCCCGAGAACGTCGAGCCGTGGTTGAAATAATTTCCAAATAAGTTTAACTAATATATATCGCGTTTTAAACAGTTGTATACCTTAGCTAAACCCAAGATAGATTGCGTGCTTCATTTACTGAGTCGCTTTTTTAATTCATAAAAGTATCAATATAAAAATATTACTTCTATGCACATTTACACTTGCAGCGTAGTAAAAAGTGGATGCGTAAGGTAATTTGTTGTAATAATCGTCACTTACTAGTAGGAATTCTAAAAATTACTACAAGAATCACAGGGTAAACATTTCGTGAATACAGTATCTTAATTTCGTTTTATACAATAGCTAATTTACATAATAATGGTTATAGAAAATCAATAGCACTGCGGACAAGTTTAAACTTAGTACTTCGCAGTAACGAAATACTCCATGACAATACCTATTTGTAGACTGTTTTGACTTTTTATGTTAGTAATAATAAAGGCTTTATTTTTCGGTGTTTAAACGGGATAATTGAAAAAAACCTAAGATACAGATAACTATAAATTTTTAATATCGAAAGCACCTAAACATTGAAGGCATCGGCTCAAAATATATATTACAGGTTTTCATCTAGCACATTGGTATTATACGCATTGACAGAATACAATTACTTGTTGAATGTAACTGGAAATCGAATCACCTGAAATGCTTTACATTTGGGCGACATGCATTGCAGAGGACAGCCTGGTAGCTTGTCTATCTTAGGTTCGTCGCAGGGGAAACAGTTTTCATCCATTGTTGATTTTTAATTCATTTTGTAAATAAAAATTTAAAAATTAATTAAAATGCGTCATATTGACACCTAAAGTCAAATATATGTAAAAAATAAATATTGAAATATTTAATTCTAGAGACTGTTGTAACTGAAAGTTGTGTGACAACAGAATAATTTAATGTCTGTCAAAATTGTATATTTATAATTGATTTAAACAGATGTTACACTTGTAAATATTTCAATGATGAATTTTATTAAAGTCTAAAAAATTCCAAATATAAATATAAAATGTTGCTCAACCCAGGAGTCGAAAGCAGGACCTACAAAGAAGTACTAATCAATACTTGGCGGTTAAAACAATCTTTAACATAGTCTACACGTTGTCATATAATCTCTGATAGCCTTCACAAGCTTTGAGAATTGCCTCGGTTATTTTAGTTTCGGCTGACAATGACCATCACACGTCTTCTCTATATAAATAGCAAGTAATACATTTATTTTTAAGCCGCGTGCTTCATATTGTTGCTAGCGTAGCTCTTGAGAGGCGTGAAATTATGACACTATACAAATTGGTTTAGTATAAGCCAGAAGTAAGCATTCGACAGTTTAAAAAAATCTTTTTCGACAACCAAAACATTATTCTATTCATTATTTTGATTCGCTGAGCTAAACATTTAAACATTGCACGTGTTTTTATGATAGATGAGGACATGAGCGTGGGTTTCCCGTGATGGTAGGTGAAATATGCCCCATTTCAACAAAATGCGCTGTCGCCCTATTTTGGCTTTTTTATATTCGTAAATTCACAGATTGAAAATGAAACGCGATTAATCTTGACGGATTTAGATATTCCTACCATCAATTGCATATCCGGATTTCTAGAGGAAGTTCAACATGTTTGAGAATATATAATTAGAAAAATGTTAGGCCGGTGGAGATCGAACCGTTAACATCTGGATTATAAGCCAAACTGCTAACATTACACCACCACCATACACCATGAACCCGTAACTTAAAAAATAATTATTTTGTATGATCACTTTCTATGAAACACCACTGATAACATTTGAATTAATGTCTAAGAAGTAGTAAGTCCATCTGAGAAGGTTATAAAGAACAGGCTTACTACAATTGATTACATGTTTGAAATCACGCTTGACACAACTATTAAGGTTTTTAGCTACGCCGTAGCAATTTGACCTCGTAGCTGTACTACGTCATACATATGCTACGCTGCGTAGCCTAATCATTTCAGATTAATGAATATTTTCAATATTAACCTCATATTTTTTAATCCATACATGCTTTTGGGTGCTCGTTATCATTTTAACTTGGTTCTAGCGAGAAAACCGCTAATTAAGTAAAGAATATTTTGATGTTATGTTTTCACCTACCCACTATCCACGCGGCGCTAGTTCGCTTTTATTTAACAGTTACATAAAATTAATAAACAAGTTAGGACTTCCTTAAGTAAGAATGCGTAAGCGCGGACTTATTTAATTTAGCAACTGTGATATAGCATTGAATCAAGTAAAGTCTCAGTTTTATTTGGACACACAAATTCGATATCAACATAAAGATTTATATTAAAAAACTATGCAATTAAATAGAGATAATTGAAGCCAAATTTCATCGTATTATTAAATCTATTACACAGTACACTTCTGCTAATAATAAAGCTCTTTAAGCACTAAACGTTTTTGAGAACTTCTTTAAAAATCCCTGTGTTTTATTAACATTACCTGTGAAATAGCTTTCCAATCCACACACTTGAACTCTAAGCACGTAGTCACAACCAACAACACGAAATACACGAGTTTATTGGTAATAGTGTCGTCTTTGAGAATAGTTTTCATTTAACCACAAAGTCGAGAAGGCCACGAGCGAACATGAGAATTTTTGGCGTGAAATGAACGCATTGAAAGCTTGGCGAGCGTGCTTTTGTGTAAGAGCTGGCTTCTTTTAAAACGGAAATTGATTCCATCGTTTCATATCGGCCACTTAAAATATTTTAAGCCTTTTTTGGTAGCAAGTAACAGGCAAAATTCAATATGTTAAATAAAAAATTCCCTCTATAAAACATTAATTTATATACCTTACTTTGATAAAACTCGCCGTTCAGTTAGCCGGCAATGATTGTAGTTTTGTATTTAGTATAATATTTAAGCATTCTTTATATAAAATATATATGTATAATGATTAAATGTTTTCCCTCATTCTACATCATTATCCATTATTATATTTTCCTTCCCTTATTATAACGAATATTGTTTTGGTAAAAGTATGTAGTTTATTTAATCTACACAATTTTATCGTCATAACCGTTAAAGAAAAACAATTTTGAATTAAATTAAAACAACAAAATAAATGTACATATATTTATTTTCGACTTTAATAATACAGAGTTTATTTTTATCTAGTTGAAATAAAAAGCGAACAATGTCTTGAACTATACAACACGCTGCCAATTGGCGAGGTCAAACGAACGAATTTAATCGCCTGAGGGAATAACACTGGATTATTTGGAAAAATAATCATTTATTTACAGTATACATCAGGTACGTATTGCCTACGCAATTTAAGACGCTTTACATTAGACGGAGGGATCCTGCTTGCAAATCCTTGGGAGAGGATTTTATTTTGGTCTAGCTAGGCACTTTTCAAACTCGAACATTCTTAAAATTGTTTGCCACAGACAATATATACATATCCTTGAATTTCAATTTCTATGTAATCTTTAAAAAAATCAACTTTCCCTTCAAAAATTAACAGTACACAGAAACGAACTTTTGATCGCTGGCTTTAAGCTGTATGTTAATTGGTATTAATATTAAGTAAAATCTTTGGCCTAACTGTATGTGACGTTTCGGTTTGCACTATACAACTAAATAAATTAATTAATTATTTTAAATTAATGTATGGATCTATGGTCTAAAATAAATTATTATTATTATTATTATAATTTAAGTACGCGAATACTTGGTTTAAAACATCAATCAATGGAAATGTCAATGTCAAAAATCATAAAATTTGTAATTGCAAATTTACGACTCGCCCTTTGTTGTATAAATTAACACTATTGTTATTAAAACACTTCTGTGTTTTACTACATTAGGTATATGCTATATGTTAATCTAAGCATCCCTTACATTTGACCTTTATATATGAAGGCCAATCGATTTCAATACTTGAATTGATAATTGTCAATTGCCCATTAGTAAAGCTAAATCACTATGCATATGTAGTTTATTTAAAATAAAAGTTTATTTAATACGTTATATATGTAACTAACATGCTTAAACATTTTTGTAAAGACCTATTTAATATATAAAATATAATAAATACATTTGCGTATACTTATTGTTATAAATATAATTCTTTTTAAAATTTAATGTTAATAAATAACACGTCGCTTTTCAATGCAAAGGCAAATAAAGCTAAATTGTATTTCTATTTAACTAAGACACCTTGAGTCGAACAATTATTTAAAGATATAATTATAGTATCGGAATGGAAATTATATTTAGACACGAGCATTATCTTTTAGAAAGTCTTTATCAGACTATTATTAACGCATCTGTGACGTAACACTATCTTAAGATTTTGCCATCTGTCTCTCTACGATACGAAAAATATAAAAATCACTCTATGATAAATTCAATACGACTTTTAAAGCCAAATAAAAAATATTTCATTTAATATTTGGACTCACCATTTTAAAAATTCACGATCACACAGCTTATAAGCACACTCCACACCCGAACTTCCCAAGCTCCGTGGGGCAACTGCAGATTATGAAACGGTCAAGGCCACGGAAACTGTGCCAAACAGCGCTACCCTTTGCGCGGGAAATTTTCAGGCAAAGTGGCGCACGACGTTAATTGTCAAATTAACAGTTAATCTGTGTAAAGAAAGGAGGTTTATTTTTTTATTTTTATATTAAAGACACGATATTTTTCGCAAATGCTATAATACTGCAGCTACGCTTGTTTTTATCGTTGTTTTTATGCACCTAAAAAGCAATAAAGACACCACGAAGGTCGATGATAAGATTATAAAAATCATATCAACAGATTTATCGATTAATATGATCGATTTTGCTATTTAAACTGATTTTCTTCTGTAAAAAAAAACTTCTAAATTAAGAAAAAATAAATTTTGTCGAGACACTTTAGAAATAAAAGGGCATTCAACTATAAAATTGTGCCATTTATTGTTCGTATACAAATATACAATACAACAGTCTAAGGTACATTTGTGTTTAAATTATTACAAGATAAAACAATTATTATTTACTTATTACTGGTATCTTATCAAAATGTAGGTAATTGTCATTAATGATACATGTAACAACTATATTACAAATAAGTATCTAAAGTTTTAATTATGCTCCAAGTTTAAGTTTTACTAACAAATACCTGTTTTAAAGTATATAAATTGTTTATTATTAAACATCTACGGTTAATTAGAAAATACAATGTTGAATTTTATACCTAACTGTAAGGCAAATATGATTATTCCTCCTACAAGTATTAATATTAGGGACAGATGTATATGTGTTACAGTAAAATGATATCACTTTTTTTATACATAAAAAAGGCTAATTAGTCGTAGAAACTTGTATTTTATGTATTAAGTGAATATTAGAAGATAATGAATATTGGATGTTGATGAGAAATATTTATATACGGTAAATAACATACTTTTAACAATTGAAACTCGAAATATCTTAATTGTCACTGGGGATATTTCGAAGTGATTTCTAAAACTAGAGTATTTTTTTATCGATTATCACCATTTTCAATTAGTTAATTGTCATCAATATAAATAAAAATAAATATTTCAATAATAATCTAAATTCCTTTAAAGACTTTCATTTACAGTAATTAATATTGTTTCAAATATTACTTATCCATAACAATATTTAATACGTAAGTGCGATATTACATACTTCTATCACTAACTTGGCCCCTGTGTCACTACGTGTTTCATTTCTCTAAACATATCTATCATTTAAAATAGTTTATCCACATTTTGTGATTGCCTTGGAAGGACCAGACCCACCGAGTCATAGGTCTCTAAGACGGTTACAAAACTTAGACGGCCTATAGATAAGAACAATAAGTAATATGCAGCCGCTAGAGGCAGAGTAGCCTAACTGCAATTTTATGACATATTATAAAAATGACAAAGAAATAATCCTTTAATGCCTATATTTAATTACGTATAAAGTAGGTACCATTTTTTATTCAAGATTTACACAAAAATACTTAACTAGTTACATATAAATTGTGTAAGGCCACAGTCATTTGAAAATCAATCAATTTCCGATTTTTTTTATCTGTTCGGCCTCCGCAATGGAACACCATTCCTCAAATACGACAGCCGAAGCTCTAGAAATCCCAAGTTACTTAGCCCCACGTAAGTAGTAATATAAATAATGTGCAAGAAACAAGAAGACATTGCAGAAAAATGGCTAAAAAATAAAATTTGTAAGATATAAATGTCGTATTAGTATATTTATAATAACTTACTCGTTATTCTCTACTTAGATAACATTTAATATGCTTATTTACTTAAAAATTAGTTAGTTTAGTTATTATTGACTTATTACTTAATATATTACTGTCGATTCGGCACTTTTTTCTCTCTCTTCATCAAAAGCCCAGTGCGAATAAAGAACTATTTTGATTAATTTTATAAAACATAGCAAGGGCAGGTTACTCCTACAGTCTGCTGAAGAGGTAGCCATCAATAATGTATAATTTAGTAAAAAAACTAAAAAATATAATTTCTATAGTGTTGTAATTTTAATGTTTGTTTATAAGTCTATTAACCGTCTGTTAGTCTGAAATGAACATTCGATTCGTCTTAAAGCTATGAAAATAAATGTTTTCTCTTTTATAAGCGGTTAGTAATAAAAACTATTAATTTAAAATTCGGGACATTTTTATTGTATGTTAACTCTGAAGCCGTATATAGACAATATGGTGTTATTTCTTTTGTACTTTTGACGTCAATAGTACTAAATATTTAAATTAACGTTTAATTTAATTATGCTTGTTGGTATAATGGTAGCAATGTACAGCTTAATAAATTACAAATTGGATCCGACATATTTCTAATCGATTTATAATTTTCTGAAACATCTCGGAAATCTGGATATAAAATAGGTAAAGGAATATTGAAATTCCGTCGGCATCCACGGTCCACAGATGTCGTATTTTGGTCTGAGTCTGTATTTGCGAATACCTAGAGCCAAAATAGATCAACAGCTCATCTTGTTTTGATGTTATATTGCGGCCTATTTTCGTTACTACCAGAAATATGAAATTTACTGGATCAAAAATTGTTTGTATATCATACAAAAAATAACGAAATTTGTCTCCTAACTTAATAAACTGGACTATACATGTTTCAGTGTTTACCACTATCACCAATGGCTATCACTTTTCTTGCTATTTTGATAGTAGACGATTGTCTATATGTGTGTATTCATAGGTATGTCTACAGTGCTCTGCTCGTAAAGACGCCGAACGTCATCTTGTGTGATCTGTGATACAGACGGTATCCGCGTCATGTTGTTCATTATAGGTTTTACCTGAAATTAGATTAAAATCAGAGAAAAGGAAACAGCTTATTCATATAAGAGCATCATAAAAAAGTGTGAAAATAGCCTAACTTGAAAACTTTAAAAATTTTTACACACTATTTTTAGTATATAGTGTTTTTAATAGCATTTTATCCTTAATTTTATATTGTGTTTCTTCCTTATTAACTTTTAACTCCTATTTCTGAATGTCACTTTATAATTTGAAATAGAAAACCGACAGCAACTCTGTTGTTGCAGCAACAGCTGCAGGATGTCCTTCCACAGCAAAGTATTTATGTGCGATATTTTATTCTCTTGGTATTAATTGCCACCCATTTTTATCTTTGTTTAATTTTTGTATGTGCACTTTGGTGTGGAATAAATTATTCGAATTGGAATTTAAAAAAAGGCCATATTTTATTTTCTACAAAACATAAATAGTCTACCAAGAGACTTTACCTTATTGTTTGGGATGCTGATAAATCCATTTCCTACGTTTCCATTGGGCACGCCATTGTGGAGGTTCCCATTTTGAGGGCCACCGTTGGCGTAGCCTGCCCCCATTCTGGACATCGCGTGAGTGAATTGGGACATTGTATCTGAAATATAATATGTGGCTTTAGCAACTGTCGACCGCTGTAGACAAATGGTTTAAAAAGCTGTCTAGCAATCATTAAGTGCGAGAGGTCCTGGGTGCCAACTCCTTACTAATATTTGGGAAACAATAAATTGTTTCGATTGGGCAGGGTATAGAAGCCTGATCTACTTCTTGCCTGTAAAAGAACTGACCAGTCAAACGTGAGCAAATGTGTGTGTGGGGAAACTGGATTTCACTTAGTAATATTATATATGGGACATACATGTATGTCTATCAAAAGTATCGGCTTGAAACACCGCCAGGTCCTTCAGAAGCCACTTGTATAATCTCAGGATTTACATAATGTTTTGATTTATTTTAAGTTAATATGGTGGTTTTGTAGTGCTAAGCAAACTAATATTTTTTTTTTAAAAAATACTATATTAAATCAAGAGCAACATGGATGTCAAAGGAGCTTTACGTTGTCTCTTTCCACGAGCAAAGCACAAGAATAATGCGTTTAATTTAATAGAGGGAAGGTAATTTTGCCCCCCAGTTGCCGGGGGGGGGGAAAATTTTTTTTTTTTTTTAGGGGGGGGGTTTTCAAAAAAGGGGGGGGAAAAAAAAAAAAAAAAAAAAAAAAAAATTTTTTCCCCCCCCCCCCCCGGGGGGGCCCCCCCCCCCCCCCCCCCCCCCCCCCCCCCCGGGGGGGGGGGGGGGGGCCCCCCCCGGGGGGGGGGGGGCCCCCCCCCCCCCCCCCCCCCCCCCCCCCCCCCCCCCCCCCCCCCCCCCCCCCCCCCCCCCCCCACCCACCCAAAAAAAAAGGGGGGGGAACCCCCCCCCCCCCCCCCCCCCCCCCCCCCCCCCCCCCCCCCCCCCCCCCCCCCCCCCCCCCCCCCCCCCCCCCCCCCCCCCCCCCCCCCCCCCCCCCCGGGCCCCCCCCCCCCCCCCCCCCCCCCCCCCCCCCCCCCCCCCCCCCCCCCCCCCCCCCCCCCCCCCCACCCCCCCCCCCCACCCCCCCCCCCCCCCCCCCCCCCCCCCCCCCCCCCCCCCCCCCCCCCCCCCCCCCCCCCCCCCCCCCCCCCCCCCCCGCCCCCCGGGGGGGGCCCCCCCCCCCCCCCCCCCCCCCCCCCCCCCCCCCCCCCCCCCCCCCACCCCCCCCCCCCCCCCCCCCCCCCCCCCCCCCCCCCCCCCCCCCCCCCCCCCCCCCCCCCCCCCCCCCCCCCCCCCCCCCCCCCCCCCCCCCCCCCCCCCCCCCCCCCCCCCCCCCCCCCCCCCCCCGGGGGGGGGGGGGGGGCCCCCCCCCCCCCCCCCCCCCCCCCCCCCCCCCCCCCCCCCCCCCCCCCCCCCCCTTCTTTTTCCTCCCCTCTTTTTTTTTTTTTCCCCCCCCCCCCCCCCCCCCCCCCCCCCCCCCCCCCCCCCCCCCCCCCCCCCCCCCCCCCCCCCCCCCCCCCCCCCCCCCCCCCCCCCCCCCCCCCCCCCCCCCCCCCCCCCCCCCCCCCCCCCCCCCCCCCCCCCCCCCCTCCTTCCCCCCCCCCCCCCCCCCCCCCCCCCCCCCCCCCCCCCCCCCCCCCCCCCCCCCCCCCCCCCCCCCCCCCCCTCCCCCCCTCTTTTTCTTCTTTTTTTTTTTTTTTTTTTTTTTTTTTTTTTTTTTTTTTTTTTTTTTTTTTTTTTTTTTTTTTTTGTTACCGGAGACACCACCGTTTGCAACCAGTGCGCAACACTTGGAAGAGCTACTGTCAAGGATGGAACGAGTGAGCTATGAATTTGGACTTAAAATTATTCCCACCAAACCAGAAGGGTAATTTCACGTGCCAGAAATACCCTAAGTAACCCACATAGCACTGTAGTTCAATCTTTTTTTTTTTTTTGGGCCTTTTTTTTCTTATTATTGGGGGGGCTCCCCCCCAAACAAAAAAAGGGGGGGCCCCCCCACCACACCAAGGGAAAAAAGGGGGGAAAAATGGGGGGATAAAAAAATTTTTAAACCCCCCCAGGGGGGGGGGGGGGGGGGGGGTTTTTTTCCCCCCTTTTTTTTCCCCCCGGGGGGGGGGGGTTTTTTTTGTGGGGGGGGGGGGGGGGGGGGGGGGGGGGGGGGGTGTTGGGGGGGGGGGGGGGGGGGGGGGGTGGGGGGGGGGGGCCCCCCCCCCCCCCCCCCCCCCCCCCCCCCCCCCCCCCCCCCCCCCCTCCTTTTTTTTTTTTTTTCTCCCCCCCCCCTCTCCTTCCCCCCCTCCTCCCCCCCCCCCCCCCCCCCCCCCCCCCCCCCCTTTTTTTGGGGGGGGGGGGGGGGGGGGGGGGGGGGGGGGGGGGGGGCCCCCCCCCCCGGGGCGGGCGGGGGGGGGGGGGGGGGGGGGGGGGGGGGGGGGGGGGGGGGGGGGGGGCCCCCCCGCGGGGGGGGGGGGGGGGGGGGGGGGGGGGCCCCCCCCCCCCCCCCCCCCCCCCCCCCCCCCCCCCCCCCCCCCCCCCCCCCCCCCCCCCCGGCCCCCGGGGGGGGGGGGGCGTACCTAATTTCCTTATTATCATCATTGCAACGATTATAGAAACTTACTATTAGGAACAGTTTGCAGTTGCTCCGTTTGTGGCATTTTCGCAATGGCATCAGCCTTCTCCATCTCTTCTAGAAGAACTCTAGTGAACTCGGCCTTAACCTCTTCGGAGTCCGTGTCGCCATCCACCTGGATAAGCGACAAGAAAAACGGTTACAATTCGCAATATTTAAACATTATTCCGTATTGAATGCAAAAATACAGATCAAACATTAATTATTGTCGCTTTTCTATAAATTAAAAATTAAATTAGATTGTACAAAAAATTAACAGCACGGACGGGATTTGACAAGTGTTCCGTGCTTCTGCTCATTAAGCTACCGTGCCCTATAGCATGTTAGAGCACGTAACGGTGTGGTGTCGGTTCAAGTCCCGCGCATGCCATCAATTTTTTTTTAATCCCAATAGATTCTAATTCATATAATACCATAGTGCGATAACGTGTTAAAAATATTTAAGTTTTTAAAAGTTTATGTTATTTAACTATTTTTTTATGAAGATTTGTGGCGTTATGTCTCCATTATACATTAAATGTTTAAAATATAAATAGAAAGACAAGAATTATAAAAGGTGGAGAGACCATAAGGACACAACCTCCTTATGGTTGTGTCCTTATGGTCTCCCCACAACACAAACACACAAGAGCACAAGACCAAATATCATAGCTTTCGCCAATAACTTACAATAACTAGCCGATGTTGCTGATCCAAGTTCTTCAACATCGGTAGACTCAATTCTCTAAACACTTCTAGCCGTCGTCTAAATGCCGCCACAGAATCGTCCCGCCTCCCTCTTCCTAATTGCAACTTGGAACAGTCCAGTAGTACCATTCGGGGTTCAACCAGGAACTATAGACAAATAATATATATTTAAAAGTCAATTTTGACACAGACAAGCCCGCTACAGTTAATATCGAATTGCACGAATTATATTGCTTCATAACAGTATTTCTTGTCTGTATTTTACGCGACTAGTATTTAAACAAAACCCTTTTAATGGCTTGAAAGGCGAAATTTACCAGCTAACTTATTTACAAATAATTTTAACGTTTTGGATGCATTTTAGTATAGCCATATTGAACAGCTAAAATAAATTGTAAATAAGTTAACTGATATATTCTATGCCAATTTTTTTTGTCATTTAGCCATTTCGTAAATAAATTGAGTAAAGTACCTACAAAATCGCTGTACGTAATTTTTCATATTAATTCTTACCTCTTTGTGATACCATTCCATCTGTTCCAGGTCTCTAGGGAATCCATCAAGAAGAAGTCCATTTCCGGTCTTCGCCGCGTCCGTTGCTGCTGTCCTGACAAGCTTCGTGACCAGTTCCGTCGGTGCCAGTTCTCCACCGCTCACTGCAGCGCGCGATAACGCTCCGTCTGATGCTGGACCACCTCCCGCATCGGCAAGAGCGCGGAGACGTTGGCCCAAGCTGGAAATTTCAATAATATATACATAAAATTGATAAATACTGTCTAATATAATCTCAAAGGAACAACTGGTTACGAATTGAAAAAACTGAACATTTTTTGTTGCTTTTTAGAATTTTCAAACCCCATTATTGGCGATACGTAGTAAGGTTTGAGACTACCCCCCCCCCCCCTTGTGAACATCACGTGTGTTAAAATAGTCAAAAAATTTTGGAAAATTTTTTAATATTATTTTAATATAAATACAGCTACGTAAACGATAATTTATGAAAGTTTATTCCTAATTGAAGGAGGCTAAAAAAAATGTTTATGACACCATTTTTATTTAATAAGATTAACTCGTTAGAACGACGGAACGCGACCGACATCGTGGGTAACTACATAAATTTCTCCACTTGCCAAGTGATTTGCAAAAAAATTGATGTTCCAAACCTACCTTTTACGGGACGAAGTCGGTAAAACAGCTAGTTTAATGATATGAAGAGTCAAACTTTCTATTGACGTATGGATCGGGTACGGTGGATTGAAGAATTACGATGGTAATTTTTTAAATACATATTACATTTAAAGATTTATTATTATATTTGAGCTTAGGAAAAATAATTTTCTTGAATACAGTATTATAAGATATTAAACCTCATCTCGTACCTACGCTCGGTTCAATCAGCCGACACAATAAGTCGGACGGAATATCCTTGTTGTTGTAATTACGTATAGAATGTGATTTATTTAAAAAATTTTTGAGGAAATAAAATGGTTCAGTTCTGAAACACCCTCACGTTTCTGAAACACCTGTCACATTGCGTGATATCATTCATGCAAACATTCAGCACAGCTATTTCCGCGAACTACGAACATATGTGACGTCACGCGTTTTCACAGTATGACGTGGCATTCAAACAATATTAAATCTCATTTCAAGTACTCCAAAGACTTAATAAACCTCTTCTGTATAAAGTATTCATAACATATTAAACATTTAACTGTCTCTAGTCAAATGGTAAAGCGTGTTTCCTAGCATTGCGTTAAGAACGAGAGGTCTTGGGGTCGAATCCCGGGGAAAGCATAGTTTTTCGGTCGAGCAGGATAATTCTGATCAATTACCTGCCTGTAAAGCAGTGAAACGGACACAGAAATAATTGGCCCCATGCCCCGGGAGCATTCACTTTTAAGTCCTATCCATAAAGATTATATATATTTTTATAAATTTTGGCCGATCCCCTGTTTATTAGAAGAAAAAAGTACTTTCTTTCCGAGAGTTCATAAATTTTAGTTCTTACTTAGGTAAATTATGTTAATTCTTACCTAAAGTGCGTCCAACCCTGCCGCTGCGACACCGCCCGTTCGCACAGCGCAGCCTTATTGCTGCCCGGGCCCCCCACGACCCACAGCGTTGGCGTCACTGTCGCTGCGCCACGCACTTTTATAACTTCGGGCTGGAAGTGTATAACGAAACGATTAATTTATATAATAGATAATATTTTAGATATTCGGAAATCCAAACGCGATTAAACTTGGCTTTTTCATCTGCAGGCGGTCGTTGTTACCCGGACAGAAATTCGCTATTCCTACCACACTTTTAATATTTAAATTTCTAGACGGAAACCTAAATATTTGATTAAATTAAATTTTAGACTAGAAATCTTTCACAGACGAATAATATTCTCTCCTTTATTTCCAAACTCTTTAGTATAAATAAGATAAACGCCAGAAGACGAATTGATGTAATGTAAATACTTATATAGTTTACGCGAGAGTACACATTTAAATAAAACACTTAATGGTTTAAAACGCGATATATTAGTTAAACTTATTTTAAAATGATTTTTACCTGTTAAAGTGTTTTATTTAAATTGGTATAATCTATTTCAAATTAGTTTTTTCAAACCGCAAACACCCAGCATATTGGTTTATGTATAAAATTCTGCGAACAACTCGTTCAAGGAACTTGTTGCGCAGTGAGCAAACGAAGGGTTGACCTTCTAGGAGGCGACGCGGAATACTCATTGTTCTCTATTATAATCAAGACGTTGATTGATCTAATTCTCTCAAAGATATTGGCTTATCAAGGACAGCAAGAGTTAATTCGAACCTTTTTACTATCCTTCATGACTAACCCCGTGTCTTTGCCCTTGTCATGAAGGATACGATGTAAAGTTTTCATTACACGCAAAATAAAAATGTCTGTAGACGAGACATATATGCTTTTGTAACGCGGAGTGCCTTATAACAAGCAATCTCTTCTAGGCAACCAAAAATAAAATCAGGAAGTAGTCGTACTTCAGATTAGTAGGGCCCTAATAAGCAAAGCCAAAAATAGGCCGACAACACATCTTTTGTAAATGTTTTACGGCTATCCTATTTCACCTAGCGAAGTAAACCCTATGCTTGCCCACCTCTATAATAAAAAGGGAGAAAGCGTTTAGGTTTAAGCTAACTCCAATTAAATTTTGTCCTTTGGCTATTCTAGTCATAGAAACTATGATAAGACTAAATACTGTCTGTAGTTTACGCGAGTAGTCCACATTTAACGGTTTAAAACGCGATATATATTAGTTAAACTTATTTGAAAATCATTTTTAACTTCGGCCCGACGTTTCGTATGCTTTGCAGCAGACGCGGTCACGGGGAGACTCCGGGAAGGAGGTAACCAATATATACCGCGTTTTAAACCGTTAAAGTGTTTCATTTAATTGAGACAAGACTAGTGTCCCTAACAGTAATTTTTCGCACTACTATTATTATACACGTCGTACAAAACCGTAAACAGTTTTCATTCAGAATCGATATTAAAAACATGAAAAATGAAACAATGAAAATCTATTTGCAGCGGCCTCATACAAAATGTAATGCCATCATTTAAATTAATATCTAGTTTCGTCTAACGCTTGCGTGACCGTACTAATCAATGTTAGGTCTATAGAAATTATAAGACTACCTCTATAAGTTATTAAACCTAAGTCAATAAATCTAGTTAAATACTGTCTGTTGTTTACGCAAGTACACTTTTAAATAAAACACTATCGATTTAAACACGATCTATATTAAACTTTTTTTTAATTATTTTAACCACGGCCCGACGTTTCGGATGCTTTTCAGCAATCGTGTCACGGGGAGACTAGGGATGATTGTCATTAGAGACACCCTCCATCCTCAAACGGCGAGACGTAGGTAAAATAATTTTTAAATAAGTTTAACTAATACTGTCCGCGTTTTAAACCGTTAAAATGTGTCATATTAGTCACTAAACCTTACTTTCCTTATTTAGCTAAATAAATTGTATTTATCTGTTATAAAAAAAGTGCGAAACATCATTAAACAGATCACCTTTGGATTGACATGTCCTATGCCGTTAACTGGGAGCACTTTTGGCACCGGTTGCGAAGGCATCGGCATGGCTATCGAACTTGGCATAGCATGAACTGTTGGCATGGCTTGGGAACTTGGCGTGGTTTGGCCTGGCACAAATGGCGTGGGCCGACTTGACACTGCTGATGTATCGTCGACTTCTATGTCGTGGGTTTGGAGGGTGGCCGTTCGATTCCTGACTGGTGCTGGCTCTAAGCCGACGATTTCGCCTGGTATACCTGTCAGTGGGAAAGCAAAAAATCAATAAATGCCTATAGAAATATAACAAAATTAATGGGATAATTGTATTATCAAAGAATTTAATAAGTATAGTAAAATGCATCGAACAGCTATGAATGTATAAATATAGACAGATACATTGGTTATTGCCAAATAATGCGATACGATTTTGAAAAACTTGGAATGATAAATACGTAACGAAAATCTTTTTGGGGTTTATTAAGAACATACATGTATCTCCAAAGAAAATACACTGAGATAAAAATAATTCACCTTGTAATAAACAAACACACGTGGTACTTGTACGCTATTTGGATCCCTTCTCTCCATCGGCCCATTAGCTCAGTTGGTTAGAGCGTCGTGCTAATAACGCGAAGGTCGCGGGTTCGATCCCCTCATGGGCCAAAATTATTTTTTATTCTTTTACGAACCGACAAGATAACAAGAATTTGCCACGTGTGTAGATGAGTCTTAGTTTGAATGCAAAAAAGCAACAGAATTTTTTGTTTAAAAATCCGGCATTGTCAGCGTTCCAGCAGTTCGGCAGAACAACAACACGGAACGCTGACGATGCCGGTTCAAGTCCAGCCCGAGTCGAATTTTTTTTTCAATCTGTTTTCAATTTTTAAATTAATAGTGCCAACATGTGAAAAATATTAAAGTGTTCAAAGATTTTTGTATTATCTGAGAATTAAATTCTCACTAGAAAGTTGAAAGGCATTTTAGTGCGTTTCCTAAGAAACAAAATTCAAATAAAGGCATAACATCCAAAAAAGATTTATAGGTTTTTTTTATACAATTTACAAACAATCCTGTAAACTGTAAGTATATATAATATGTATATTTCTGAAAGAAAACGGCTCACCAGCTGCGCCCACTCCATTTATGCCATGCTCTTCAAAAGATGACAGTATCTGTAAGACGGCAGAGCGAAAATCCTTGTAAACTTCCTCAGGATTCCTTTCGCCATTTACCTATAACAAATAGATTATAAAACAATATAGACACTAGTACAACGGAAGAAAGAAACGGCTGTTTTATACTATAAATTAGTAAATTCTCTAAAACGGCTTTACTATTTTTTAAGAGGGGTTTTATGTTTTGAATAATTAAATAGACATTACAGACTAATTCTTCGAGCAATCATGAAGTTAACATCTCCTGATGATGCCGTCCGCTCGTGATGGCGAAACGTATAGAACCTCTTCTCGCTCACGTCGGCCGAACGGCTCGAAACACAAGGATATGCTGAACGACGGCCGTGAAAGCCTTATACAATGTACATTACAGAATGTCTAAATTATTAACTTTTATCACATGGGATGTCCATGGAACATTATAAAAATTGTGCTACAATATTTATAAATAAGGCATGAAAACAGATCAAATTTGCTTGGAAAGTAAGTATTTTAAACTTGTCGTATCACAAAATTTAAAAGTAAATAACCGATTTTTCTAATAATTTTCCAATAACGTGGAAAGTCTAAAATAAAAAGTTTAAAATATCTTAATATAGTGAAAATTCTATGATACCCCGTCTAAACCCGTAGATCAACATCGATTATTAGAATTTCTTATAAAAAGCCTTCAAGGAACTTTTCACCACTCAACTTCCTCGAAACTCACAAAGCTTTCTATTAAGCTAGAATTATTGATGATTAATTTGAACACGTGTGTTTGGGGTTACAGTGACCTATGAAGGTGATACGTAGATAGTATCTATACAGATTTTTAATCAATCAAAAGTGTTATTATATTCCACGAAGTATACGATTGGGTGTGTAATTTTATTTCTCGTCATTTTTTAGGTGAGAATAGTCAAGCATGAAGTTCGGTAATGGAAGGTGTAAAACACCAACCATATTACATCTCAACAATGCGCCTACTTGGCTCGACCTATTTTGGCTTTGGATATTCGAAAATCTACTAGACTCAATGATTATCCAGTGCTTGGTATGTTTTAACCGCCATCGACACAAATCTGTGATGATAACCGAGATTTACTCGTAATTCGCCGAGAATAACCGCATTATACAGAGACAATCTACTCAGATTCCTCCCTAGGCTTATAAACATTGGTAACAATATTTAAATAAATCTTAACGGTTTAAAACGTTAAATGTAATTGGGACAACCGCTATTACAAAGCATCCAAACTTCGGGGCGTAGTTAAAAAAAAACTAATAAATTTCGCGTTTTAAGCAGTACAAGTTGTTTTATTTAAATGTGTACTTGCGTGAACTTTAGACAATAGACTTGGTTAAAATATCCATACAACTAGGAAGGAATGAAAACACCCGGAACAGCAAACTGTAGACGTCAGCTGCATTTTCTCAGGACAGTGCAACTCTATAATTTATGCTATTACTTATTCATTTAGTTGCATGAACTTGACTCGTGTAGTGCCCCACTATTTATATAATAGACACCTATTGCATATTCTACAATTCTCAAAGCGGCCTATAACGCAATCGTATTTATGTGTTTCAGTCTTATAAGGCATAACTCTATAAAATGAAACATAGTTAGATTGCCTTTTATAAAATAAACCCTTGTCCTTAACAGTTTAAAAGGCTAAATATATTACGTAACTAATGTCAGTCTTTAGTCACTTTATCAGCTAATTTCTGCAACTATCAATAACAACGAAACAAATACATTTGCATTTCATTTCAGTTTGCGAATGAACGGAATTCATGGACGGAATTTTTTTACATATAAACAGATAAAGCCGTCCTATAAGTTATAACGTAAGATACAAAAGTAATATCATCACTATTAACATCCCACAGCTGTACGCAGGTCTCCTCTCGTTTTCTTCTTCTGAAGAAAAATGGAATAATCTACAAAGAATGATATAATAACAAATAATAGACAAGACACGTTTTCACGCCAATTTACAAACCAGTCACACGTTAGACAATAAATTATTTACAACAAAACGAATTGTTTTACATCGAGTGAAAACACTAAAATTAGATAATTACTTGTCTATGGAATTAGCATAACCTATGGCTATTTTGTGCATCTGTCTCGTGTGTCACAGTTCTCTCGTCACTCGTTCGTCAAAAAAGTAAATTGTCAAATGCATGTTCGCGCGTTTTCTAATGTAATCTCTCAAAAAAAAAAAACATTACTTGTTGCGGCAAAACGAAATGGAAGACACGGAAGGATCGCTGAATTTCGCGGTGTTTAGTGTTTCAACTAAATGCTATGCTGGGTGTCGAATAGGATTAGATAAAATGTAAGTTAGCATATATCTTTTGATACTTTATTGCCAGCAAAGTGTATCGTGGAAATGAGGTTTTCAGTCGCTGTTAATTCATTAAAGTTTCACCTATTCAAATATTCAAGACAATTGTTGGTAATTGCGGAAATTCAGACATCAATCGTTAGGCGCTTGAATATTATAACTTTTGATTAGGGGCCTCAAATTTACGGGGCCTCTAAACAGAGTAAACATATTTAAATAAAACACTTTAACGGTTTAAAACGCGATATATTAGTTAAACTTATTTGAAAATGGTTTTTAACTTCGGCTCGACGTTTCGGATGCTTTGCAGCAGCCGTGGTCACGGGGAGACTGGTGGGTCTCTAAGTTTAACTAATATATCGCGTTTTAAACCGTTAAAGTGTTTTATTTAAATGTGTACTACTCGCGTAAACTATAGACAGTATCTAGAGTAAACATATGACAAATTCAATTGTAAATAAATAAATTGTTTGATGGGATCGTTATTGAATAGAAACGTGCCGGCCCCCCTCCCGGGCCCAACACGTTTCTATTCAATTTATAATTTTTCTGAATCATTCTGTTCCAAACAACCGACTTCGTTCGGAAATCTGGATATTAAATGTAGTACCATTATCGAAAGTCCACATTTATAAAAGCCGTCAAGTTCTATCGTGTCGTTTTAGTCTGGGTATTTCCAATATTCAAAGCCAAAATAGGTCGACAACACAACGAGCTTCAATGTTCTATGGCTGAGGCACCTTCCTTTAAACATAACCATGCTAGTCTGTTCTCTATCATAACAAAGTATGCGATTCGAAATTGTAAACAATGCTAGGTTGTGCTTTTAACTATTGTGCCAAGGAGACGAACGAATCCTAATATATCATTAGATATTTTCTTTTAATATATAAGTATCATATTACAATAATAGCAGCATTTCCTTCAACGTTTTTCGAGTGCGCCTCTGCTCAATCATTATTTATTATTGCTGTACGTTGTTTGTCAATTATTATCGACTTCTACGACAATTTTCAAGCAAGTAATTGGAAGTAAACATTTCTTTCTCTGTTTATTGATACAAGTACTTATATACGTTTACGAGTAAACATACTGTCTGTAGTTTACGCGAGTAAAAGGTACAAACTCAAATAAAACGGTTTAAAACGCGATATATGTTAGTTAAACTTATTTGAAAATTAAGCATAGACGACTATGCGAACGTCGGGTCTGAGTAAAATAATTTATCGCGTTTTGAACTGTTTTTCATGTCATTTATATTTTATTTATGAATACGCGATTAATAGTTTAATTTGTACAAAGTCTAAAAGTCCTAAAACCTTTCGTGTTAATATCTTACTTTCATGTTCCTTTGTTGGGGAAAAACAAGGATCAAGCACTTGTGACGAAATAGCCCTTTAATGAGTCCATCCATTTTGTCCTTGGACAAACAGCTTCAAAACAAAGTCCAAAAGAAGTTTCCATCTGGTTAGTGACTCAGATGTGGTGTTTTACGAGAAACACTAATGAATAACGGTCATTTTAATTGAAAAAGAGTTTAAGGTCTAATCTTTCTCTGAAAGTCTAAAAAACTTCCCGCGTAATCCAGTTTCATAGACAATAAATTAAATACCTAAAAATAAACACGGGCTGGACTCGAACCGGCACTCACAGCGTTCAGTGTTATTGCTCTAACCGATTGATTAATAGACAATAATGTAGCAGCCACAGACTAAAAATCTAAGCGAATTGAAAAAAGGTTGAGGTTGCATTTAATAAGTAAACAGCACTAGTGTGGTAGTATCATTGACATTGTGCCGACCACAATCGATATGGCGTCGCGCACACCCTTGGTTTATTGATGGTCATCGATTTGACAACTATCACTAGTGACGCACCGCGCTGTTATTGTGATCATGTGTTTTCGAGGGTTGTCATGGTATAAGGGTCATTGCGACATGACAAATCTGCCATGACAAATGACTGGCATAAATAATTATTTAATAACACATTTTCACAGTTTAATACGCGAGATATATTAGTTAGAGTTATTTACAAATTATTTTTACTACGTCCTGACGGTTTGGATGCAAAGCAATATATCTCGCGTTTAAAACAGTTAAAATGGTTTCGTACGTGATGCTTTATTACAATACTTGCTGATTCAGCAAACACTGTTTTGCTGTTTGCAAGATAAATAAGTTACTTTAATACCTCAAAGGTAAACGCACAATTTTCCCCATTTTTTCCACACTAGTTCTTTTGAATCTTAAGCAGCGTTATGTTATAAACTTCAATAAAAAAGACTTCTTCTATAAATGTCTATCCGAAACAAAAATATGTTTTCAAATTAAAATAGTGCCTCAGATAAGCGTGTTTATAATATTAGTATAGATGAGTACTTTTCTTCGCGATACATAAAACACAGCCTGCAACACATCCTTCTTCACAAGTATCGTTCGTCATCGAAGGGCAAAGTATTCTTCTTCTAACCAGTCATCGCATACATTTAACCCATTATTTATTAATCTATTTGTCTTTTAAACTACATAGACAGTCCAACAGCCTACAAACGGCTCACTCAATAATTTTCATATTAAATATGCAAATGTTCCGTCTTATACTCTTTCAATGACTAACTATTTACATTTTTTAATAACAAAACGAGGACATTACACATAACGGACGATTTCTTGTTATTAGTGTCCGTTTATTTTATATATATTGTTAAAGATTTATAAGAATGCAAATATTCTTAATAGACCTACTACTCTACTCAACACCGAAATGCGAATAGCTCACGGTTTTTTCATCTGTCGATGGCGGTTCATGACCTGGGCGAAATTTCTACCACCCATGTAATATCCAGATTTCCAGACGATACCCATGTGACAGAAATATCATAAATCGATTAGAGAAATGTTGGACCCGGTGGGAATCGAACCTACGAACCGTTGATACGTTACACCAACAAGCCCGTCATTTTTTTAAATATTCATTGGCTCAGCTTGTCTGTGGTTCGCTATGTTAGAAGGAATTATGTACATACATAATTTCTTAATCTATAATAAGACTCGACTAGGTCTAGACTTTTCCGATAAAGATTTGAAAACTGAAATATTTTTCACGCGCATTGCACATGATAACATTGTCATTTAATAAATTAAACATCTATTTACACTGAAAACATTTTGAGGACACGGGCGTGACTTGAACCGGCATTCACAGAGGTCCGTGTTGCTCCTACTAGTAATAATTGAGCACGGAACGCTGTGGATGCCCGTTAAGGTTCCGACTGTGTCGTCATTTTTTTTATCAATAGTTTGTTTTTTAATTCAAACAATATTATTAAGAATGACTAAAAGAACATAAGTCTTACCATTGATTAATAAAGGAAAAAGTAAATTTCAGTATGATATATTTTGTTCCGTATGGGATTAAGATAATAAATAGACCCCCCACCAAAAGGAAATTCCGCCCCCCCCCCCAACCCCCAAAACCCGCCCCCCCCCCCCCCCCCCCCCCCCAAATTGGGAAAAAAATTCCGCCCGGTTTTTTCCCCCCCAACCCCCCCCCCCCGGGTGTTTCCCCCCCCCCCCTTTTTTTTTCCCCCCCCCCCCTTTTTTTTTCCCCCCCCCCCCCCCCTTTTTTTTTTTTTTTTTTTTTTTTTTAAAAAAAAAAAAACCCCCCCCCCCCCCCCCCCCCCCCCCGGGGGCCCCCCCCCCAAAACCCCCCCCCCCCAAAAAACCCCCCCCCCCCCCCCCCCCCACCCAAAAAAAAAAAACCCCCCCCCCCCCCCCCCCCCCCCCCCCCCCCCCCCCCCCCCCCCCCCCCCCCCCCCCCCGCGGGGGGGGGGGGGGGGGGGGGGGGCCCCCCGCGCCCCCCCCCCCCCCCCCGCCCCCCCCCCCCCCCCCCCCCCCCCCCCCCCCCCCCCCCCCCCCCCCCCCCCCCCCCCCCCCCCCCCCCCCCCCCCCCCCCCCCCCCCCCCCCCCCCCCCCCCCCCCCCCCCCCCCCCCCCCCCCCCCCCCCCCCCCCCCCCCCCCCCCCCCCCCCCCCCCCCCCCCCCCCCCCCCCCCCCCCCCCCCCCCCCCCCCCACCCCCGGGGGGGGGCCCCCCCCCCCCCCCCCCGCCCCCCCCCCCCCCCCCCCCCCCCCCCCCCCCCCCCCCCCCCCCCCCCCCCCCCCCCCCCCCCCCCCCCCCCCCCCCCCCCCCCCCCCCCCCCCCCCCCCCCCCCCCCCCCCCAAAAAAAAAAAAAAAAAAAAACCCCCCCCCCCCCCCCCCCCCCCCCCCCCCCCCCCCCCCCCCCCCCCCCCCCCCCCCTTTTTTTTTTTTTTCCCCCCCCCCCCCCCCTTTTTTTTTTTTTCCCCCCCCCCCCCCCCTTTTTCCCCCCCCCCCCCCCCCCCCCCCCCCCCCCCCCCCTTACCAAAAAAAAGGGAAAAAATAATAATATAAAAGATATTGATTTATCTGTGCAAGATCGGTTCTGGTTTTGTACTTTCAATCGTCTCGTCATCGGCCCATTAGCTCAGTTGGTTAGAGCGTCGTGCTAATAACGCGAAGGTCGCGGGTTCGATCCCCTCATGGGCCACTAATTTTTTTTAAAGATGTCGTAAACTTTGTTTTTTTTTTGTTGTTACCCAACGCAGTTTATTAGATTGACTTTATGTGTAGACTTTTTTTTATTTCCCTATTTGCTATTTATTATTAATGCCGTAGTTTACATGAAGATAGACATGAGGATTATTATAATAGAATACGTTAATAGAAGTATTGCTTGTAGTTTAAGCGAATTGTACACTTATATAAAACACTTTTAACGGTTTTGAAACGCGAAATATATTAGTTAACTTATTTACGGTTCATTTTAACTACAACACGATGTTTCGGATACTTTGCTGCATTACTAATGTTTTACCCATAAGTAATATTTTGTTTATTTTTGTACATATCAATTTTTTAAGTTTTAGTTTTATTTTTATTTTTAATTAGTGTTGTTTCATCGAATGTCTTTCCATCAATCGTTCATGTATGTATTACTTCTTATTATTTTTCTCCTTACGATACATGTTTACTTTTTGCGTAAAATTTCAGCGCTTTTACCCACTTTGACGTCACAACCGCTAAGTTAACGTTACCGTGCAGCGGAAATACCCTTACACGATAAAATCGTTGGCTAAGCTCAATTAGAGTACCGGCATTAAGCAGCATGGTTAAGCTAATCTACGATTGTTAATCTGTGTACCTACATTCTGTTGGTTGTTAGCAATGTATGGCTAGTACTCGTCGTGGTGGGTTCCCACCTTTAATCATTTTACTAATTCCGAATATCCAAAATATAGATCGACAGACTTAGAAGTGTGGACTATTTCACCTTCCAAAAGTAAATCCCATGCTACTCTTTCCTCTATCAGAGAAAAAAAAAACATATTAATATCGCGACCTATAGAATATCGAAATTTAGCCCGAAATTTAAGCGCGTTTCCAAAATGTCGACAGTGGACGTTATAATAAAATTTAATATTATGCACTATACTGATACTTTGGACTTCACTATAGAGCTATTTCAAAGTTACAACAGGAATTAGATAAAAATAATTCTGTTAAAAATTCCCCTGTTGTCGATTGACCTATATTTTTAATAAAAAATGGAGCACATTGTAGCTAAGTTGACTATAATTAGGACATACCGCTAAAAGCATGTTGCTTTGGTCAAAGTAATCAGCGACAGGCATCACATTCTTATAGAAGTTGTTGAGTTCCATTCGAGCCAAGCCAAGCACCACGTGGCCAAGTCTCGCGCCATACTCGATCTGTCGTTCGAGAACTCGCTGCCGCCAGCTGACCAGAATAACCCCGCTGACTGTTTGGATCTGTAACTTTTTTAAAATTAGAACTGTACTTTTGACGAACTCGTTGGTTGGTGAAATGGTAAGAATGTACGGCTAAAAACGGGTCGTGGCCTCGATATCCACCGGGTTTAACAATTTTCTAATGATTTAAATAAAACACTTTAACGCTTTAAAACGCGATATATTACTTAAACTTATTTGAAAATTATTTTTAACTTCGGCCCGACGTTTCGGATGCTTTGCAGCAGCCGTGGTCACGAGGGGAAAATCTTTTCAAATATGTTTAGCTAATATATCGCGTTTTAAACCGTTAAAGTGTTTTATTTAAATGTGCACTACTCGCGTAAACTATAGAGAGTATTTAATTTTCTAATAAATTTATAATTTTTTGGAAACGTCTTTGACTTTATCTGGAAATCTGGATCTTAAGTGGTGGTGGTGGAATTTCAATACTCCTTGTATTGAAATTCTGTCCAGGTGACGAACCACTTTCCACAGAACATGCTGTAATCACTTTCGGTTTCAATTTGTGGATTTTGGATTTACCAAAGCCAAAATAGGTCAAAACACATCTCGATTCGATGCTAAAGGCTGGGGTATTTCACATATCATCAAGTGGATCCCATGCTTCTCTGTCCTCATCTAACATTTTAAAGAAGACTATCTTATTTCGTGGACACGATGATAAAAACTGTAGTCTATCTAAAATACAGTAGAACTTATTTTTTTTTACTTAGATTAATATTATTGTTTATTCTTTCTATTATTACCCATAATATTAAACGAGTGTAATAAAACAATTATTCTAATAAATATACGAATTCTGTTTATAGTGTAAACTCAAGATGCTTGAAATATTCTTTATGGAGAAATTACAAAATATAGTTTCATAAATAGAGATAATCCTTATCTTTTCTAAAATGGAATAAACCACATTTATAATATAAAATATGTGTTTGTTCGTATGCTTGTTGTATCCAAGCTTCTTGGTTGATTATTTGACGATTTTAATACAAGCACAGATTGAGATAGATGCTAGTTAAATATGAAACTAGATTGTTGTTTACTTCCGATGTCAATTTTTTAAATTTATAATGAAAATTAAAAACTACTGTTTAAATTATTAAAAGCACTAAACAAAATTGAATAGCTTGCATTAATAGAATTATATTGAAATTCCATCGTCGTCATAAAATGACACACGCGACCCGTAATGGCATATGCATGGCATTTTAACATGCAATTTATTAAAATTGTCCCAAGGCCAGGGCATTTCCGTGGCATACTATATTCAAATAATTAGTGTGTCCTCAAATGATTGATCTGCCTCGTAGGTCTAGTGGTTAGTGCACGGTTTGTTCTGGGGTTCAAATCTTAGGAAAACAGTTCTTGGAAATAAAATCGATCAGTGAAGCGGACACAGTATTGTGCCTGCGTAATGCCCCACATAGGAAGAGATAATTTTACACAAATACTTAATTTTGCATTTGAGAGACCAGAATATACTATAGTTTAGTAAAAGGGGGTTCCCCTGAGTCCACAGCTGCTGTAATGCATCTAAAACGACCGGTTGTTGATCCAAATATGTAACTAATTAATGTGGCGTTTTAAGTCGTCATAAGTGTTTTATTAAAATGTATATCACTCGCGTAAATTTATATAGCAATACTTAAATTTATTTATTACCCTACTAATATTTTTCGATTTTAGCCACCCAAGTACATCTTACTTGGTTGTTATTAGATAATTATTGTAATAAAAAAAATTGAATCTTGTTTCCAATAAAATATCCAAATAATTTATTATAGAAAAACAATACTCTTTTAAATAAAACACTTTAACGGTTTAAAACGAGATATATTAGTTAAACTTATTTGAAAATGATTTTTAACTTTCGGCTTTGCAGACCACGGCTGCTGCAAAGCATCCGATGAAATGTCACGGTATCTCCAAACGCTATTGTCGCGGGTTTTGAGGCCCGATCGAGTCAATAAATGATGTCAATCTAACACTAAATTTTTCATTTCATCAAATGATTCTCTCTCTTTAGTATGCGTCATGTGTGTTGTCGACTTATGCAAATTGCAATGGTGCAATTCTATAAGGTTTCTAGTAATTAAGTGAGGAGTAGTGTGATGGGTAAAAGTTAATTAGGTAATCAAGTAATGGAGAACTATAAAACCGTCCCTTGTGTTTAAAAGAATTAGTGTTTTGTATTATATTCCTAATGAGTATTGTTTTAAATACCGTCTATAGTTTACGCGAGTAGTTGGAGACCACCCACGACAATAGCGTTTGGAGATACCGTGTCATTTCATCACCACGTTATTAAGAAATCTAGCTGTGGTCGCGACTTCGTCCGCGTAGAATAGTTATTGTTGGCAACACAATTTCTTTTTGCAAACCTCGTGAACCATTTTCCCTGTTTTCTCCACATTTCCATTCGTTTATTCGCACCCATCAATCGCGGCGTGATAATTTGTGGAAGCCTAAAGTCTTCCACGATAAATGATCTAAGCAACACAAAAATATATTTTCAGTTTTAACAAGTAGTTCCTGATATTAGCGCGTTCAAACAAACAAACTCTTTGACGCCAGTTCTCAAATGAAAGGCTTAGACCAAACGGCGAAAACCGGCAAGAAACTCGCCGCCACTCCTTTTAACAGGTGATAGCCACACGGGAACCATCTTATAAATGAATAAACGGAAGCTTCCACCTATTGTTAGACGAGTGGAAATTGTAAGCATCGATTAGGAAGTCCGAAAGAAATTAGGATATAGTGTCAAGGACGAGAAAACGCTTCTATTTACTAAAACCTTCTGTTGTTCTCACACCCAATGTATGTGGAAGAATGTCAAACGTGTAGGTACAAAAACATCATGAATTACCGACCTTTACAAAAGATATCTTCGAAGTAGACAGAATTGTCTGTGGTTTACGCAAATGGTACACACTTAATTAAAACACTTTTGACGGGTATATTATATGAATTTATACTAATTACTATAAATTTAAAACAACGACGCATCTTGAAACAGCATCTACAGCGTTCCGTGCTGCTTCTCAAACCAATTGAGCTATCGTGCCCCGCCTGTGACGCCATTAGCTCTTAAGCAATAGCTATATTTTTAATCATTACTCATTAAATAAATTCATTCATTCATTCATTAATATACGAGTAGGTACTCTATCTTACCTTATCGGAGTACTCGGCAACATCCCTCATAGACCGTGGATAACCAGAGACCAGGTAACTCTTCGCTGTTGGTGCCATCTTCATCTCCAACATGAGGACTTCAGTTACCGTCTTACTAGATAGAGTGCCGAAGTCTTGCATATCTGCGTAAAATAATCTAAATAATAACTAAAATCTACTAATATATAAAACTGAAGAGTTTGTCTATTTGAACGCGCCAATCTTAGGAAGTACGGGTTCGAATTAAATCATTTATCGAGGAAAATTATAGGCTATAACACATTGCGATGTGACTAATAGAAGCGAAGATATAGCGGGAAATGTGAAAAAAACGGGGGAAATTTTTCATCTCTGTGGATTTCAGATGCGTACTCTGCGAAAACGGTTCCAGATACCTAAAAAAAAGTCCACGACGCTATATATCTATCTTTTAATATTAACTTGCAAGAACGACGGGAAGGGACGCGATCGACGTAGTGGCTAACAAGTTTTTAAAGATGACGGGGTTTGAAAAAACTAATTTGGATGTCCAATATATATAGTATAAATAAATATAACGATTATCGCGGAAGAAGCCGCTGGCACAGCTAGTAGTATAATATGGAAAGAACGATTTCGCATATATTATTTACTATGAGATTGATTGATAATTATTAGAATAAATAAACTTCTTAATGCCAAACAAGTTCAACTTGATTAATAAGTTAAAGTTTATGTTGAGAGAAATGCCCATAAATAACAGAAACAGTTCGAAATTAGCTTTATAATATTAGACGGTATCACTAACTAGAAAATAGCTCAGCCGAAATAAAAGCATCGATAGCAATCAATAGTATTTCTCGAAATATGAGAAAGGCATGATTCAAAGAAAACCTTAGACACACGCGGCGAATCCCACGTACCCAAGAATTACCTATTTACAGCTGTCAAGACCTTCGGCCGGTTTGGTTTAGTTCAGGGACGTGGTCTGTGGAGTTTATTGAATAGGGATATTTATACGATTATTATACTTAAATGGCAAAATGATCAAGGCATTTCCCCACTAACCCTCACAGGGACAATTCTTAAGAAAATGACGGTGGCGAAAGTTGCAAACATTTAAAAAATTTGGTCTTGTGACAAGATGACATAAATTATCAAGTTTAAATAGAATATATTTCCTTTTGTATGACAGAACAAGCATAGGGTGAAATAACACAAGGAAGGTGAAATTCCCTAGCCATATAACGTCTCAATAAGATGTGCTGCCGATCTATATTACACTAGGCAATCGGGAATCCACAGACTGGAACCGAAAGGCCGTTACGCTGTACGGTATTCCATCCGTGGTTCTTTGTTACGCAGACGGAATTTTGACATTCTTATCAACTCTAGGAGCCGTTCAAGATGAAGGCTGGTTGTTTTTCTGGAAAATTAATAACAGATACAAAGAGCCCGGAATGTACATCATGCTGCTCAACTAACCATTTCCTATAGCATACTGCTGAAGAAGATCGGTCATGTTGATATGCACCAGGCCGCGACGCTCTTGCATCAAATTGTCGCAATGTGTCACCTTGCCGCTCCCGGGGCCTCCTAGAGCATAACCATCTAAGGAATACCAATAGAAGTTGACCACTACCACTATCTTTAAGGGTCTAGAAAGAGATATATCGCATGCGTCGCGAATATTTAGGCTTGATAAGTTAAATGATAAATAGTGCTTTCATAATATATAGATATCGGTACAAGTTTGTGATCTCAACAGCATGTTTCAAAATATACATAATTCTTAAAAATTGCACAACTTTAATGTGGTATTTCTTAAAAACAATAATTATTTCTCGACTGTTAAATGGATTTCTTAGTCTGTATATTAATAGTGTATTCTCAATCAGGTACGGATTAGTACTTCGTATTTAAAGATAAAAAATTACCAAGTATTGGCTTCAAACAATCCAAGAAAGTTACAAAAAGTGATATGAGCTTCAGTCGGCCTAATTACAGAAGTCACTTTTTATTATTTACTAAAATCCAGAATAGACACAGAATTGTATCAGACTGACGATCCACTTACGGAATAGAGAAGTGTGCTTCCTACAATATTAAGCCATATTTACCCAGGACGAAAATAACAGGCACATTAGGTGGCTCGAATTTGACGTGGCTAGAGTTTTGCATAGGGAAGGGAGCTCCCGTGGGGGAGGAACGCCAAGTGCTGCTGCGGCGGCTGCGCTCCGTCGTCTCCAATTCTTCATTGTTTTGTTCTGTATATCATGGGCATCATGTTTTATTAATTAATTGTGTTCCAGTTTATTTGAAATACTACATGAGTCTCTGTCTTCTTTTAATTTAATTTTTATGTTAAGTTTTAGGCCTTTCGAACCTCTTAATAAAAAGGAATAAAGTGATTTTAATACTTTTTTTATTTAATGGATGAGTATTTATTTGTACTGAAGTTTACGTTGCGTACGTCGGTCGATTCTTTTAAATCCAGAACATTTTTTTAAATATGTACAATTGACTCTAGGGAAATGGATTTTCGTTCACACTAAGGAATAATTATTGTTCCCTATATAATATTTTAAAGACACAAGTTGGTTCACACCTCACTGGTAAAATGAGATTCATACAAACAAGTAAATCCTAGTTTCCAAAGTTATATTCTAAAGTATTTGGGAATATAAAAAAAATAATTTTCAAAACTCATTATTTTTTAAAATAAGAATCTAACTTCTCCTATTGGAACATAAACACTTGCGCGCCAAGGCTTACCTGTGTCTAAACAGATGCCCATATTCCATGAAGCAGATTTTTTTTACATCTGTCCAATCACTAAGTTATCCTAAACTAAATCTAAATATTGGCACTAGACGAATTTTATCAAAAGTCCAGTATGTGGTCACACGTATATAATTGTTCATCGATTGAAGGGCGACCTTCGAAACACCAACAGAATGAAATAAAAATTTATATCGTATTAAATAGTGTCTAACTCATATTTGCGATTCTTAACTCTTCAAGTTAGTGTCAATTATCCGAAAGTTGTGCCTGCGAGATAGCATTTCTGCCAACGACTTTGAGCGGACCTGCATCGCGGGACGACCGCACCGCACGAGCACCGACGTACGACTAACCGTTGAAACTGAAACTTTGTAACGCGTTAAGCGTGCTGTCACTCATACTTTCACTAAAAAGGAAAGAGATAGAAAACACATTGAATAATTAAATGTTTGCCCCTGAATGAATTAAGTGCGGTGAGTAATAAAATGCAATGCATGCAAGGGTAGTTTTAACTTATTTGTTCGTAAGTTATCCAGCTATTAGGGTCATGTTTGTAACTTAGTTCCAAACGTCTTTTGGCATAACTTATTCATGGTTACGACTGTAATTGATACGTTTAACAACTCCTAACTATAATGACATGGTCGCCACTACAATTAACTTAAATTCTTATTGGGTGACCTGGAAAACATTAAAGAATATGTCGGATATAATGGGGAATACATAATAGATGGACTAAATACATTTGACTGTACGAATAAATATTCTATTGAAAAGGATATAATTTAAATCACAAAGTAACTGTAATAGTTTAATTATAAATATTGCTTTAACAACTAGTGCGAGCGGAGATTCCAATTAATATAAATTGTATTATGTTTCATAATAATAATTTTCGTGGGAGCAAAAGCCTTTCAGTATACAAACCATAAATTGGTAAGATAAATTTATTATCTCTATGGTCAGTCATAAACTAAAATTATTGTTTAGTAGCTAATTATTCTATAACAACAATTAAATAACAAAATAATTAGAATGTTAATTAATAAGTACATTTGCCTACTCGTAGTTAAATAATGGTTATGTAAAACCAACCACTATGTAACAATAGAATCATGTCTTTAAAAGGAGTTGTCTTTTTCAGTTTGAATAATAAAGTCTTGTCTAAAATATTAATATTAAGCAATAATATCTTTTATATGTAAATAAAAAGAAAGGGTTTTATCGTAAAATATCATCAATATACTTTAATAAGTAGAAAATTGAATTATAGGCCAAAGTATGCTATTACAGAAATGAAATTATCTCAAGGTGTTTTGTATAAATGTCTATACAATATGTATATTTATTTGTTACTTTATTTGATATATATCCGACCCAGGATTTGAACTTAAAACTTCGTGGTTCCCAGTCAAGTGCTCTAACCACTGCAGTTTGTAATTATTTCATAATATTGACATTAAAATATATCTTCATTATAACCGTCTCTTCGCGCTTTCTAGTCGCACACGCAAAGAGCGACTGTCTTTCCTAAGTAGAATGAATTAAGTACAAAATTAGTACATAAAACAAATTAAAAAATAACAATTATTTCGCATAATAAAATTATAAATAACAACGCTATAAAGTTTTAATATACGTAACTAAATTATCTACTTATAAGTAGTTATAGCTAATGGAATGTTTCGCTACTATAGTCTATTCAACAAAACGAGTAAATAAGTAATGTAAAAGTGACCACTACTAACCATTTTGCATCCTTCTTCGTTGTTAGGGATTGTGGGACAGAGACACCATTATATTTAATTGGTTTGGTGATTAGACTATAGGACCAAGTTTAAAAATTAAAGTTATCAAAAAATTGCTACTCCAAATATACAAATTTGCTACAATTTTAGAAATGTACGATAATTATGCCTGAACACAATTTTATCTTCACGAAGTAGTTCTCATCTATGTCACTCATATACAGTTATATTGAGGAATAGTTTTCAATCTTTCAAATTGTTCCTATACATTCAAGTTTTTAGATTTAAACAAAACCAAACAGATTAAAACGCGATGTTTTTCGTGCCCACGTTTACTAAAACGCAGGTCAATTAAGAAACCTAGCTAAAATGTCGCGTTTTAATCCGTTACAATTTTGTTTCAAACTCACGCCAACTCCTTCGAAGAACACACATAAACAGAGTTATTTTAATCCTCTTTCATCCCATAAAAATCACTTCGGTCTAACTTTTTCATAAAAATATATTTGCGGTACACTGTTGACATCCTTCATGAGCATTTTCCGTTTCACAAATTTGAAATGTTCATAAGCAAATTCATATAACTCATTCTCCATTTTCCATATATCAGACTTTTGAATCTTGGCTATTGTGTCCTGTGTCGGATTGATTTTCGAGCTGGTCTGTCGCAGGTGAGACTTGTTACTACTCAAGTAATGTTCTGTAGCGCCTTTAAAAAGTCTCGGCAAGACAGCCTCTAGGACTGATATGAAGTCTAACATTTCTTCTGTTACTCCAACTAATAGATAATGGTTTATTAGGTTGTGTTTTGCTCGATCTAGTGCCCATTGGTTGCCCGGTTTCCTGTAACAAAGACAAATATTCATTAAGAATTGATTCAATTTTACTTTGTATTTTTACAATTTCATGCGCTTGTTGGTCTAATGGCAGCATTGTATGGCTAATAATTCACGGGCCATGGGTTCGATTCCCACTGCGTCTAACATTTCTAATTTTTCTGAAACATGTCGGACTCCATCTGGAAATCTGGATATTAAATGGGTGGTAGGAATATCGAAAATTCCGTCCACAGAAAAATTCGTGAAGTTTAATAGCATTCAGTCTGTGGATTTCCAACTATACAAAGCCAAAATAGGGTGACAGCACATCTTGTGTAGATGTTATGTGGCTGGGCTATTCCACCATCGAGTTAGCCCTATGCTGGTCTGTCCTCTTCTATCATAAAAAAAAATAAAGAATGAAAACAATTTTTATAGACAGATTAGCGGGACCTATGTATGTTTAAAGACAAAACACAAACAACCAACTGAAGAAAAACATTTGATAAGTTATCTAATAACTCATTACATATTTGTTGTTCTTAAGTTAGAAGATAAAGCTGTGAAAAAGTAATAAAATACAAAACTAACCAGCACTCGGCTGCATGGCCACAAAAAAATGGCACCTGCAGCCACATATTACTAGGGTCACAATCTGGTTGTCCTTTCTCCACACACTCGTCAAATGTCTGGAAATAAATTCATAATTTGCTGCTATTAAGAAATTTGTTAAATATTATTAGCAGAATAGAAGTCCTTGTTTTGTTGAAATTTATATTCTGTTAATAATTCGATAAATATTATTAATAGAATAGTAAGGACTTGTCTATTAATGAATCAATTATATAATAATTAAGAAGAGCAAAAATAGTGCTTAGAACTTGCTACTTGCAGGTTGTTTCATACAGTTTGGCCAAAGACAGCCATAAATGTTTGAGATATTTACCATTTTATCACCATGCTTTTTTCTTACTAGATGTGGCCTAAAGTTGTCACCGTGGCGCAAAAAATAATAGTAGGATACAAGCCGATCCAGCGGCTTTCGTATCAGGTTTATAAATATTGGCTTTGATGCTGTGCCTAACCTGAAAATGGAAATTTAAAAAATTAAGAAAAATTATACAAGGAAGTTAATTAAACATGCAACAATCTTTACAGATCTAAAGATTAAGAATTCTGTTAAATTTATCAAAATGTTTTCTAGCTATTTTAGTTCTTTATTACATTGATAGAAGCTTTTTAATATTAACCAAATTTATCTTGGTTTATTTAATAGGGGCAGGCACCACTGTGCAATGAAATAAATTTTTTATGTTGTATTTTAAGGAGTTTTGCACTAAGGCAGTATTGCCTAACATTATCTTTAGACGCAGAAGCTATCATAATATAATGAATAAAACCTTAATGCTGTCTGTATACTCACCTATCGAAATTAAGAAAAGCCATATGCCCATGGTACAACGCTGGCTTTATTTCCCGCCACTTAGTCACATTTTGAGCAAACTTATACTGGTTACTAAGTGACAAAACGTGCATGTTCGCTGTGATATTAATATGTAGGACTTTAAAATGATTCTTTTTGCACAAATCATATGCTACACCAACAAAGCTGGTGGAGCCTGTCTTTGGAACCCTATTGTATATAACTACTAGATCATCGTCTTCTCTTTCCAAAGCCTTCGGAAAGAACTGACGAGACTCTGAATGGCTTTGCAGTAATTTGAATTCTGAAACATACACGTTACATGTCAAGTGCGTTTCCGATTTCTAAATCGCATAAATTATTATTTACTTACCTAGTTTGCGATAATTGTCCTCTAAACGTGTTACTTCCGACTGGAAATATAAAACTACAATACCAACAACACACAACGAAGAGAATAGCCATATTTTGTGTATGTTCAACATATCGCAATAACGGACCGCGCAAAGCTAAACTAGAATGAGCACTGACATAATTTTAATATGGGTTCATTATAAATATAAACATTCCTGTCCCACTGCACGCGACACCCACACGGCAAACATCAACATATTTTTCTATTCCATTTCAATTCAACATTTGAAAATATTTTATGTGAAACATTTTAACGTCAACTGTCATCAAGTCCAATTTCTCTCAAGAAAGTCAACGTCAAGTTTTTACATTAAACAGACGTCATATTGTCAATTGTCAAATATGTTATTTAAAAAGTAAGCGTAAAGTTCCAAAAAGAGGCAGTAATGATTACTTCAATGCACGCACATTGAACCTGTTAATTAACGTAGTTATTCTTCGACCAATCAAAGTAAAATACGGTATATTAATCATATTATATGTCAAAATCAACAGATGATTTTACTAGCATCTTATTTAAAATCATTATTGCTGACTCTCTATTTTCCGCCAATTCTTTTTATTAGTAAAAAACTCTTCTTTAACTATTAAAATAATATCGAAACAAACACAGAAATGCGTACGTAATATATTTTTAAAGCAGTTCTCATTACACTTAATAGACACCATCCTGTTTCAGATATTTGTCCTTGATAGTCAACAAAGTGCTCCTACCAAGCTACCCCACTTTAACGAGATATGACAGGGGTTAGTATACAAATAGATCACTCAGTCTTGTCTTTTCGGAAATTAGATTTGACATTGGATTTCATATGAATACTTTTTGACCGTGAATGTAGAACCAATTTATTTTTATAGTTTATATCTTTTATGTGGCTTTGAATATTTCTAAAGGAGATTTAACTCTTAAATGAAGATAATCTATCAAAGTAGTTGATTTATCAGTTTAAAAATATCCGCATTTTGGAGATTCTATGTAGGCTTTTTGTCACAATTTCACCAATAAGTTAATAGTCTAGATTTAGCAAATGCAATAAATGAAGGACCCTGAAGGCATACCTGAAGACTTTTATCTGACTGAAGAAACTTATCGCAAGATGTGGATTTTTTTAGTTCACATTTTTGCAGTGCTTAGTATAAGCAGTATTTATGTTTGTAGAATTATTGGTAAGGTTTTTCACAAACGTCAGTAGACTAACCAGTTCGTGACAATTCACAATGATAAAAAGGTGGTTGAAGATTTGGTGCAACTACCAATCAAAGACTTCAACAAGACCTTACATCGTAAAAAAATCTAGGCAAATCAGGTTAGCTATTACCATTCATCGGCCCTAAATTGCCAAGAAATTCAATCTTGTATGGCTTCATCCATTGCTAAACCATCAGTCGATCTCGAGCGCTCCACGGCGAAGCGCGTATTGAAGAACGCAGCTTCAAATAATGCTTACGAATACGCGCGCATAATGGAGGTGGATAGGATCTTCTATATTTTTGGGAGTTTCTCCCGGAAGAAACAAGACAGGCGAAAATCCTTGGAGCAAACATCCGTCAGCGCTGGGAACAGCCCAATGAAGGTCAGGTCGAGACCTGGCAGCCAGAATATGCCGATCGCAGCCAGGACCTCTGCTTATCAGCTCGATAATGTGGTGCGAGAATGGGAGTGTGGGGTCTGCAAGAAGGAGTTAGTGGAACCCAGGCTTTTGGCCTGTCTTCACAGCTTTTGCACTAGGTGCCTTCAGGGTCTTCCCTTGGAGGGCGAGTCTGAAAATTGGAGCGATATTGATGGTGAGTATCGATTGAAGATTACGCGTGTCTTAAGTAAATTAGTAGCTTTAGAAGCCATAAGCAACAAACGTAGTCTTTGCTCAAATAAAAAAACTTTTTATTTGACTTAGGTTCAAATCTAAATTTGAATAACCCAAATACCTAACTTCGTTTTTGCTATAATGTTGTTTAAAACTATATATTATATACACAATATATAATCGTATAATATACATGTACGTCAAAAATAAGTTATTGTTTTACAATTTGCTTAAGTCATTTAATCTCTACAAAATGTATTTTATAATAATCGCCTTGTAACACTATTGAACTCGACGCTTATACGCGTCGCCTAGCATTGTGTTAGCACGAGAGGTTCCGGTTTCGAATTCCGCGAAAAAACAAAACAATCTCACCCTTAATTAGATGTTGGAAGAATTCACCCAATGTGATATGACATTTAAGCTAAAAAAAATTATAAAACCCTGCGTGAACACTGAGTATAAGTTTCGCAGATATTGCAAACAGAAGGTGTAATTAGCAATAGCAGCCCAGCTATTAGCATCTGAACAAGATGTGCTGTCGACTTATTTTATCTTTGGAAATTCTGAAATCCAGTGTCTGCCGAAACTTAGATTTGCACTTCACGCTTCTCTATTGTGTATGATGGTTCGTGACCCGGTCTGTTTTTTTTATTTTCCTACCATCCTTTTAATATTCAGATTTTTAGAATTAATCTTAAGACCCATTGATTAGACACACTGTTACCATTGGGCCAACAGAAACCGATAAATGATTAAACACATAAAAACGCGATATATATTAGTTAAGTTTATTTGAAATTGTTACGTCCTACTAAATATGATGAATGTATATAACCGCTATGTATATAACTGACGATTACTATATACAAAACCAACAGTTAGTTGACTATAAACACATTGCGTAACTGAGACCTAATTATTTTGTTAAAGTGCCAAAAAGCTTTAATTGCAAAACACATTGCAGCTACAGTTAAAATTTAAACACGCGATAACGTTTATGAAATATTATGTCTTACCTGCTTATAATTGTGGAATACTTTAATCATTATTAAGCTGTTGTGAACTTGAAAATGTTTGAATTTTTAACGGTTAAAAATGCGAAATTAGTTAAATTATATTGGTGCGACTGGTCCGACGCTTTCCGACAGCTATGGCCACGGTGGGACGCGGTTCCTATTTTAAATTGTTCAATGTTTTTCATATAAATGTGTACTAGTCGCGTAAATTACAGATAATACTATTATAATCATGTTTAATATATCAGCAGCAGAATTATATTTTATAACTAGCTGTGTCAGCCACTTCGTCCGCGAGAATCGTTAATTATAGGCACCCAAATTCGTTTTTGCAAACCCTTTCATCTTTATAAACTTAAGCTGTTACTCATGACATCGGTTACGTCCCTTCCCGTCGTTTTTGCAAATCAATCTTAATATTTTTTGATTCGAACCCGTAATTCCTGAGATTAGCGCGTTCTAACATACAAACAAATTCTTCATAATAGATTTTGATAATAGATAATTTAATAATAATGAGAAATAAAATTATGGTTTTGTGTTCTGTACCATTACGTTGATTAGAGTTTAAAGAAAAAAAAAAACACAAAAATCAAAATAGGCCGACAGCACATCTGTTTACTATATACGTCGATCACAAGCAGTTCAAATCGGATTGCTGTTGGGTTTTTCGCGTTCTCGGCTTGCGTTGTGAGTGAGAATTAAAAAACAAAGTTTCAATTTAAAGTCCGCCACATCCTTTATCTCTTTTACTTGCCTTTACAAGCAGATAACTGATAGATTTTCTTCGTTTATAGCTTAGCCACCGAGGGGCCATAAACTATAGCCATGAGTGAGCTTTCAAATTATACTGGTCAATAGAAATAAAAGTATTATAGATTTATAGTAAAGCTGACGATAAAACATCTGGAACTGTTAATAAAATGTTCTGTTAATAGCTTTACAATGGCCCGTCTTTATAAACAAACGGATTTTATCGACGGAAAATGGGTCATTTTAATGGGGCGGTATATTTAAGAATTAATAAAAAAATAAAGCAACTACCTACTAACTACCTAATTCCTTCTTAGTAATTATTATTATTTTTTTATTAAAATTTTTAATTTTAATAAAAAAATAATAATAATTAATTTAAGTTTTTTAGTTTTTTGCATGCGGTGAGTACCACAGGCGGGATTCGAAACCGTACACGGCATTGATATATTAATCTTCGATCTCAGCGACAAACAAATAAACGAATTTTATTAATGACAGAGGAGAACAGGCAAGCCAAGAATGTCCCCCCCCAGGGGGGGGAAAACCCCCCGCTTTTAAAACCCCCCCCAAGGGGGCCCCCCCCCCCCTTGGGGGGTTTTTTTTTTGGGAAACCCCCGGAAAAGAAAACAAAAAAAATTAATTTTATATTTTGGGGGGGGGGGGGGGCCCCCCTTTTAATTTTAGACCAACCACCGACCAAAATATTGTGCTATTGTTGTCGTGTTTAAATGTTGGTCCTTCGAGCCGGCCATTTATTAAGCACGTGCTGGTCGCTTGCCATAAAGAGGAATTTATTACTAAGTAGTATATATAGCCTCCGGCCAAGTGAAGTGAAGGCATTGGTATGAGCGAAGCCAGACAAGGCAACCTACTTTAGCTGTAATTGGCTTATTCGGCACGTGCCTCTGGTGTCACATTAGTAGTGATTCTTTGCCAAATAAAATCTATATGCATTATGTTCTCTGCATTATGACTCAGCCCTTTTCCCATCTACAGACATAAGTAGGCTATAAGGTACGGATTTTCACCAAGTATTACATTCAGGTCATGATCATGCTTCGAAAATATCTTCACCCGGATACTGAATGAAAGTACACTAGGATTATATTCACAAATTTTAATTAGAACAAGTTTTGACGGGCTAGTTGGTCTTATAATACCGTACCGTGGTAATGTAAGGCTATTCATCAATGGGTCGTGGCTTCGTACCCCACCGGGTCCAAGTTTCAAATTTATCAGTTTATAATTTTTTTGAAACATGTTGGACTTCGTCTCGAAATCTAGATAGTAAATGGGTGGTAGGATTATCGAAATTCCGCCCGGGTCCGACCACCGTCCACAGATGAAAAAGCCGCGAAGCTTTAATCGCGTTTTGGTTTCAGTCTGTGGATTTCCAAATATCCAAAGCCAAAAAAGGTCGACAGCGCATCTTGTTTGAATGCTGCAGGCTGGGTTTTATTACCTACCATCAAATGAACCTCGTGCTTGCCTGTCCTCCTGTATCATAAAAAAAGTTTCCTTAATGTTTCATCGTTTTTCATCTAAATACTGTCTATAGTTTACGCGAATAGTACACATTTAAATAAAACATTTTAAACTGTTTTATTTAAACGCTTGTCATTTATTATTAGATTTTCTTAAAGCAGAAACCGTTTAAAATCTAAATAATTTACTTTCCGATTCCAAAATGGAAGCAACGCAAACAATGAATAAAAATGTATCGTTCGTAAATCGAAATCATTCGTATTATTGTTTATGTCACGGCGCACCGGGTGGCGAGCCTATATTTAGACACATTAGCTATGTTCCGGCCTACACGTCATTGATATTCTAAATATACATTCGATTATTATAAACAGACAGAAATACAGGACCCACAATTGTTAATAACGTTTGTTTTAACGTGTGTTTGAAACTATAGGAGTTGTTGCGTACTTTGAACTACAAGTAAGCAAACTTTAATTTTAGTTTTTTCAATATCCTATAGAATTAATGCGATAGTATTGTTGTAGACTATACACAACAACTTCACTTTTTAATCCAACTAAAAAACACACCTACTACGGGTTTTTACAGTTCGTTGAAACAATACAGTGTAATTAAGTTACCTATATGGTTAGGTTTATACGTTGTGTTCCAATAAGAAATTACTATTAAGACAGAACATCACTTTTAAATGAAACACTTTAACGGTTTAAAACGCGATATATGTTAGTTAAACTTATTTGAAAATGATTTTTAGAATAGTGTGACTCCGGGCCGTAGTTAAAATAATTGTACTATTCGTGTTAACTACAGACAGTATTTAGAACGTAGTAAGTGGCGCTCTTATTACCATTCAATAAAAATAAGGAAAACATCAGAAAATCGTGTGTCAAGTCGGGTAACATTTTCACTTCAGTTGTGTTATTTTGTTAGATCTTTATACATTTATCACAGACATATTTAAATAATAACAAACAAATGAATCAGATGTAAAACAGAACTCACGCTTGTGCACGTTCAAAGAAATTGTAAATATGATATTTCAGTGTAATTCTGATAGATCAAAGCTGTGGCAGCTTATAAATTATCAGGATCATTAAATAACCACCGCGTTCTTTCTCCATACTTAGATATATAACAACTAAGAGATGATTCTAAACCCGATTTCTGTAAGAAAAAATTACATACAATTGAACAAAACGAAAGTATTACCAACTATTTTTTACATAGAAGTTAATAGTAGGCAAAATATAAATAAATAAATAATCCGTTTATCATCACAAGGTGACAAAATTTAGAACTATAAATGAGTTAAAAAAAACTTACAATTAAAAGAATACAAAATAAAGTACAATTTTTACTTTGTGCTAAAAGAAAACGACAGAGTGGTAGTATTTTTTATAACACAAACACACATGCATCATGTTTATTTGATGGGAAATTAAATACCCCAGACCTCATAACAGATCTGTTGTCGACCTATTTGGCTCTCAAAATCCACAAACTGAAACACAAATACATTCCATCTGTGGAATTGACTTGGGCCATATTCCAGACGAGAGAAAACTTGTTTCTGACAAGGCGTAAACCGAATCCACGGCCTACGTTTGTCAATATACATGGATACCGTTGGGCAAAAGGGCCCGTCAAAAATATACTATACCCATCTCCGATAGACAGAACAAACGGCTTTATTATTAGGTCGAGAATTATACTTATTGTTTTATATAGCTTTTAGTTTAATGGCGACTGTAGTAAGGTAAGGCGTATTTTTCAAGTGCTAGATGAATCAGCCGAGGTCGTCGTATTTAAAGATTTCTTGTCGGATGTAATGAACGACGCCTGTGTCTTCCGCCGTTGTTAATAAATAGCCATTACACACGAGCACTTAGTAAATGAATCAACGAGATATAATTAAGGAAAGAAAAGTAGTTTCTCTTTCTTTAAACTTGGTGTATTTGGATATGTTTGAATAAAAATTACCACATTCTTAAATTTGTACACAGATAGTAAAAATTGTATTTACATGCATGTTTATATGTGTGTATTGTTTGCAATTGAAAATAAAATTTAATTCATAACGCTACAAAAAACTCACGTTTCTTTTTTTTATAACAGGTTTAGACTTACGTTTATGTTTAACCTTTAGACCGCCTCTGTAGCTAAAATGATCGGACGTGCTGCCTACCAATGCGTTAAGTGCAGGAGGTCCTGGATTCGAATCCCGGGGAAACAATAAATTGTTTCGGTCGGGCGGGGCACGGAAGTCTGATCTAATGTAAATAAAAACCGATTAGTGAAACGGACATAGAAATGTTTTCGCCCTATGCCCCACGCCCCTCGTGGGGCATAGGGGGTAAACGGGATTTCACTCTCACTCTCAAACTTATGTTTACGTTACTATTCCCAGATGAGATTTTATGTTTTTTCAATGTTCATGAGTTTTTTTATTAAGCTATTTGTTAGTGAAGTTGCATATGTTTTTTTAATAGACAAAACGCCCTAATAACGGTTTAAAAATTGTTAAGTATTCAACTACAAAGTACCGCTCAATATTACGTGGTTTACTAAAATTAACAATGTTGTTTCAGTATCAATACAACAGGATTCCAGCTCCAGGTCAGCATCTGGTAGCGGCAGCGGGTCCGCAGCATCAGGTTACGAGAGCGAGAGGAACTCAGACTCGGACGCTAGTCTCAACCAGAAACCGCGCAAGTTTGGAATCTATACGAAAAAGGTTTTGCATTAAAAAAATACTCGACAACCTCCATGAACTAAGAAAAACAATTTTTATTTTATATTTTTACAGTTCTTAGTGGAATCTGTTATAAGGTCTACATTATTTATTTTTTGGTATGATGGAAGATAAAATAGTCCCCGCCATATACCACACTTAACAAAATGCCTTGTCGCCCGATTTTGATCATGTCGATTAATAATAGACAGGATCAAAATCGGAATTAAACAGGAACCCGATTAAACTGCACGACTTTTTATCTGTAGAAATGTAAAAATTTAATCAACCAGAATTGAGCTGACTTAAGACACTCAATTCTATTAACTTAATATTCAATTATTTTTTATAATCCTCACCATCAAACTGTCACTTTGACAATTGACAAATTATTACATTTTCTTATTCTTGTTTTAAGTTGTGAATCGTTTTTTTTTCTGCAGGTATCAGGCAAAAGCGTCAACTTCATAGTGTGCCCAACATGCCTTGGGGAAACCCCACTCCCACTGGGGGGAGTGTCAGCGTTGCCCTTGAACTACGTCCTACTCAGAAAGATGGCCAGTCGGGATGCCGCCAATGTCCTTTGCGATTTGTGTAGCGGTGATTGCAAGGTAATTATAAAGGTATAAAGGCATACAAAAATATAAGAACTTGAATTAACTGTGATCTATATTATATATGTATTCGTTTTGACGATTTTGCTATTTTTTGTTTTCTATCTTATATTTAGTCTGTATTACACAATATGTTTGTTTTATGCGTGTGGTCTTTATCTTAATTGAAATATGCAAATAGCTTAACATCTACCGCCTCTGTAGCCAAATGGTTAAACGTATTGCCTAGCATTGTGTTAAGTGCGCGAGAGGTCCTGGGTTTGAATCCCAGAGAAACAAAAATTGTTTCGGACAGGCAGAGCACAGACGTCTGATCAACTACTTGCCTTTTAAACGGACACAAACATGTGTCCGCCCCATGCCCCACGAGGGGGAAACGGGATTTCACTTTTAACATTTACATTTTTTAATATTATTTTTTTCATACTCTCTATTACCGGTGAAGTCCCAATCCAAGTTCCCTTTTTTACGACAATGTCTGTAACTGTGTTAAGATTGTGCCCATAGCCGCTCGAAACATGTTGCTTTTCGAGATTTAAACCCAACACCTCTTATCGTACGAATGTGCGTAAACGCAATGCTAGGCAACACTTTAACATTTAACTATCGAGCCACGAAAGTGTCATTCTAATTAATTAAAATTTTATAAAAACAATATTTTTAATTATAACACTTTTAATGGTTCGAAAGGCGAAATATATTCATTAACTTGTTTTTAAATAATTTTAACTACGCCCCCGATGTTTCGGATACTTTGCAGCAGCCATGGCCTCTGCCCCAGGCCCGTGACGCGACTGCTGTAGAATTTAAATATATTTTGCGTTATTGTTAAAAGTATGACATGTACAACACAGTTGTAAACAACAGAATACAGACGATACTTAAAAAAACAATAGTCCTTATAAGCAATATAACATCATAGACTGGGCGAAATACTCAATGTCATTTCGCCCCATCAATAATGATGTATTCGTTACAAAAATGTGATGTTTCCAACAGAAATAGGAACACGTGGAGTGAACGCGGCGTGTCATTGTAAATGAGGTTTTTGCTCGGAAATCGACTCGCTTCATTTGTGTTCAAATTATTTGAGGACATTAGTTACGTTTTGGGTATCCGTGGTAATTCAATTTGTGGGCATGAAGTGAGTTAAATTAATGATGACTCCTGATTTTTAGATTCATGTACTGTAAAGTTTATTTAAGTTACAGCGTTATTGAAACCAAAGACGAAAGTATTTGAAATATGTTTATTTACGTTAAATAAGTTTATATGCAACTGTAAAGTGGTATTGTTAGACAATTCTTCATGAAAACTGTTTGATTAAAATACAGACTCTCTAATCCATGATCCGGACTTTTTATTTCGTTTATTATTATATATATATATTTGCAAGGCACACACTTTATTTTATTGTTATATTAATGTATTATAACTGAGAGTTTTGTATGCTCCTGCTGACGTGGGAAAGGGGCGGGGGAGGACCGTCACCCACGTTCAATAATCGTAATAAATTTGTCTAAATAATACTTGAACATCCCCTCTATCCTAATAGCTATTTATTTAATTTGTTATTCATTTCAGGCGGAGAGTAGATGCGTAGAATGTCTTCTTAGTATTTGTACTTCGTGTAGCGAGTCCCACAGGAAGCAGAAGGCGACGTCCAAGCACTCTCTGCAGCCCCTCGACCCGCCAGTGAGATATTGCAGTCAGCACCCTCTAGCGGAGCTTAGTGTATACTGCGCTACTTGCCAGCAAGTAAGGAAAATGATATAAGGTGTTACAGTCAGCGAGGCATAGCAGACATATTTCTGTGTATGTTTCATTGGTCTAATGTCTGTTTCTTCGTCCACAGACAGTACGTCACATGGGGAAACTAAATATATATAGAATACTAAATACACTGTCGATAGTAATATCAGTATGACAAAGGAACAGCTATTAAAGCCTCATTTGTGTTTCAATTCTGGTTCGAATTGAACAATTATTTTTCGTGTTGGTTAGAAGATTTATTGAGGAAGGCGTTAGGCTGTTAAATGTCAGGCTGAGACCAATATGAGCGAAGAATCAAAGTGCGCTGCGAAAATGGTTTAAGAAATTTAAAAATATGTATCGAATATGCTTCTTTAAGTCATTTTTAAAATTAACTCTTTAAATGGACGGGACGGCGGCGACGTCGTGTCGACAGCTAATTTTTATAATTATGAGCTGAGGTTTTTTGGAAAAATAAATAATATCATGATGAAGTTCGACAGAGCTAGTCGAGAAATATTTCTCCACAATTCACCATGACAAGTGGTAGAGACGTCGTTAGGTTGTTTCTAATCGAGAACCATCTCTAATTGCAAAATGCTCGCAAGCTTTTTAGACCTTCTCGTCTAAAATGTTAAAAATCAACAATTTCAATTTCCAGGTAGTATGCCGCGATTGCTGCGTAGTGTCACATTCCGGTCATGCGCTTGCGAACGCGTCGCGAGCGGCGAACGAACGCTCGCGCCAAGTTCGGGACGCGTGCGAACGAGCCAAACACGTCCCAGAGAACGTCGAGAGAGCCGCTAGGATACTAAACGTTCATGCTTATGAAGTTGAAGTAAGTGCATACAAATTAAAAATCGGTTATAAATTACGACACGGGTAGGACCTTGAACGTATTGATACATGCTCCTCTCGCGAAATGTAATTTTAACCTTAACATAGTATACATATTATGGTTCCACGTCTTATGTTAAGTGCAAACAGTTGTCTGTAGTTCACGCTGACTGCAACAGATGGCGCTTTGACATTAGGGACACTTTCCATCTTCAGTCCGTGGCTAGGTCTGCTATATAGCACACAAAACGTATAGTAAAATGTATAATAATAGATTTTATCCGATCTTACTTTTCTACCTTTACAATTTAGTAGCAAGCTGTTTACAAACGAATATCTTGCTTCGATGTTACCTGAAATATCGACATAACTGTGTTTTTTTACTACCTAGGTACTTTCCGGATATCTTGTAACTAGTGCTTATTGCTATACATTATTATTATTATTATTCACATAAACCATATTTTTATCAGACCCAAGCATCGCGCGTGGAAGCTGAGATTCGGGCGTGGACGGAAGAATACAAGAAGGCAGTCGAGGCCCATGGGCGCGCGCTGTGCACTGCCGCAGTCAGGGCGCGAAACTGCTGCAGGGAGAAAATAGAGCACAAGACCCGACAACTCGAGGAGAGGACGCAGCAGGCGCTGGAAGCCGTTCAGTTTGCTGAAGAGGTCAATATATTATACCATGATTAATTGTTTGTGTCAATGACTAGAAATAGTTAAAAAGTTTATAGTCAGTGGCGAACTATATGGTGGAAAGTCGGCAAATGCCACGGGCCCCCAGCCCAGGGGCCCCCGGTCAGAGGAAATCTCAATTGTTGGTTCAGCTTTTTTATATATTGGGGAAGGGGAGGGCCCATTCGATGAATTTGCCACGGCCGAACGGTATAGTTAGCACTGTTTATAGTCATTGATTATAAGCGTATTTACATTGCATTGAGCTGACATGAGTTTTATATGTCCCCTTAAATTTCTTCTTTTCGGTACATTACAATTTCCTTTTTTGTTTCTTCCAGCTGTTAACAGAAGGTAAAGAAGATGAGGTCCTCTCTTTAAGTGGACCAGTCCTGCGCCGTTTGGAAAGGCTGACAGAACTGCAGCCGCTCTCGGAGCCCCCTCGCTGCGAGTTGCGCTTCGCCCCAGATGCCCCTGTACCGGAATCCAAGCTCGTGGGGCGCCTTCTGACTCAGGCGGCCGATCCCGACAAATGCGCACTTAATACTGATGGTTTCCAAGACCTCCAAGTAGATTGCCCCCATGAAGCTGTTTTGGAACTGCGAGATAGTAAAGACGAACGGATATGGTGTGGCGGGGAGCAGGTATGTTTTTTAATTATAGAGGAGGACCCCAACCTATATTATATAAACAAAATGCGCTGTCGACCTTTGGCTTTGGATACTCGGAAATCCAGAGTGAAAAAGAAACTTGATAAAACTTCACGGTTCTTTCATCTGTGAACGGTCGTTCTTGGCCCAAACAGAATTTCGATGTCCCAACCACTTATTTAAGTCCAGTTTTCCAGACGAAGTCCAACATGTTTCAGAAAAATTATAAATTGATTAAACAATTTTTGGACATGCTGGGGATCCAACCCCACGCGACTCGTTGATTAATAGCCAAAATCCGAAGTGTAGAAATTCCGAATGAATCTCTTATAGAAATCGATAACCTGGCCTACAGTTGATTTCAACAATATCTCTGAAATCGATCAGATGGACTTTGATTAGGAGACTCTAAATATAAAAAGACTTCATATATTTAAATTCTCCCTATCATGTTCTCCAGGTATGCGGGTACTTCCGGCGAAGAGATTCCTCAGCCAGGCCAGCATTAGCTCGTGTAAGGGACCGCGCGGATGGCTCATACACGATCACCTTCGCAGCTCCCAGTCCTGGAGCCTATTTACTGGCTGTGACACTGAATAATACTCCAATTAAGGTAATCCCGGGGACTCAAAAGGATGTTAGCGGGCTGGTGGTAGAGTTGGACCAGTCCAAACGCAAAGGATTATTATGTAGGACGATTGACCACTCCCCGCATTATAACTGTCAGAAACCAGTGAAAAATAGATATTATAAGATCTAGTCGATCTATTGATCTAGTATTAGTATATAAAAATGATTTATATAGGGAGATCGTTCCGCCCGTGTCATCATTTTGTTCATTGATTTTTAATTAACACAAAGATTCGAATTTTACTTACAGGGCAGTCCTTTCCCGTGCTGCGCGCGCGTTATGAAGGCTCACTCTGGGCAGTTTCATTGCTGCTCGTTTTGTTCGTCTGGGGGGAGGCGTGACGTCACCTGCGCATGCGGCTCTTCAATGGGCGGCGGGTATAAAGGTTATACATATTACTATTTTTATGTTTTACTGGAAAACGTTTTATTGCTCTATAAAGTCGACGAAACATGGTTCCCGTAAAACGGTTCTTGTTAGTTAACCTTAAAAGGTATACATATATTTTTTAAGATTATTTAAAAAATAATCATTCTTGCATACATATTTGTGAGTATCTTGAACAGTTTTTTGCAGCGCACACAACGGAATCCCTCAAATATTAATACTTTTCTTCCATTTCTCTATGAGTCATGTTTAATAGCCTAAAGCCATCCTCAATAAATGGTATACCAACCCAAATTCAATTTTAACCAGTGATTCTTGAGATAAGCCTGTTCAAACAAACAAACTCTATAGCTTTATAATGTTGGTATTGTTTCTTGTTATCCTATTAACTAACATAAAAATCCTCAGGCTGTGGTCACGGGCACGCGGGCTGGCCTGGAACGAGACACTGGTCGTGTTGTGGCAACACCAGAAGAAACTCGCCCTGCGCAAGACCGCAACAGCAGTTGTATCAATTCTCTTTGTGAATATTTTATTTATATATTTGTTGATATAATGTGAGTTTATTACACGTCCATATTAGTGTGCATTAGCTCTGTGCGAAATATGAAAAATGTAATGTATAGAAAATGTCACCCCATTATTATAAGATCTGTATATATACTAGGTTGACTGGAAGTGGATTTTTTTTTATGATAGAGGACAGATAACTACGGTATTCACTTGATGGAATGTGAAATATCCCAGCCATATAACATAAACTTTTTAAATAAAATAAATGCTTAACGATTCTTGCTTAAATTCTGTAACTGAAAATTCCACGTTTTCTGCCAAATCAAACGATTAAATCTCGTTATCGTGCGTTGATAGGCCCTCCTAGAACACTAAACCACGTATGTGTCATTTTGTTATGTCCTAAGCTTTGTATTATACGGGACTTGGATGTTGGCGTATCATATGCAGCCTTTTCCATGATCATTATAAATTTTCTGACATTCTCACATATCAAATAGGCCGTATAAAAAGCTTATTAAATTAGAGATTGGCAACAATAACTTATTAGTTTCAAGACATTTAAAGTAAGTTCAACACTTGCTTAACTTTGAAATAAGACTTCACCCCCATCCGTGTCTTCGTATGTAAGAACGATACAGAAGCAGAACTATTCCATGTCTTGACCACTAGTGTGGTATTACTGTGATTGTTATTTACAAAGTATTAATAAAATCGTTGTTTATATCGATATGGTTTTATTTCTAAATGGTATTTTCGAATTGTAAATGATGATTTTATACATCAGAATCCAGGCATGAATATATTTTCGGATAAATTAATTATTGACGATTCTATATAAATATTGATATAATTTTAGTATATATAACTTAATAGAATTTGTACAACAACAAAAAAAACACTTATGTATATTCGACATGTTTATTTTACAAAATTTATTGCTTAGTATCAGTATGTACCATTACATCGACATAGAGTTGAAATAGCTCAGTTTGAATGCCTATCTAGATTTCTAGATAATTCTCTAAATACACTTGATTTGATTCTAAAAATATAAAAAATAGTTTGATGTTTGAAGTCAAATTATTTCAATAAACTGCAGACAGTATTTAATCAAATTATTATTAAATAAAAAATATTAAAAAATAATTTTTATTCACTCGTCAGATTCCTAATGACTATATTGTGTTTACAATATAAATATCATAATGATGATAAAATTGATGTCCAATTTATTTAATACGTCAAGCACTAATTACGGATAACTTAAGAATTTTGGCAGATAATTTTGCTAATGAAGTGTTAGTATTGATTTTAATTGGTATCACAGTTTATATCACATCTGCAAATAAATCTATTTTGTCTAAAATATCGAAACATCTCCGAGAACCCTAGAAGTCTATTTCGAGTTTTGTGCGCATTGAGGATTAATAATATCAACTTTTTACGTCATGATTATGCTAGTTTTACAATTTACTGGCGATGCAAAGATTCTAACTAGCGCCAAATTATAAGTGTCAAATTGTGAATCTGTCTAAGAACGACAAACGACGATTCTCGATACAATTTACAACATAGAATGGTTTACTTAATATAAAAAAATAAGATGTGTGTTTTATCTGACAAGAATCTTGCCCTTTCATTAACACACTATCTTATTGTCTTATTAGTAATTAATTTTGTAAATTATTTTAATATATTTTTTTCGGATAGATAAAAATGTTTTCCAAAGCGTAAGTATTAAGCAACGTACCCAAATTATGTTTCTGGTTGTAACAAACGCTGGTTTTTTAATAGAATGATGATCCATCTGATTGTTTATATTTAACCTCGAATCTAAGAAGTGTCGTTCTTAGATATCTTCTCATATTTGCCGCTAGGGGGCGTGCAAGTAATCTTTGCTTCACCAATATCACCACTTATTACTAATTTTAATCTATTCGGAACTTTTGACTACACGACGCTAATCTAACGATAAATTAAACCTTTTTTAATTTTTGCGTCGTTGTATCGCTATTATATATGTTCGAGAACTCTTTTTATCTCGATAGGAGAAAATATTTACAATTAGAAACTAAATAGAAGCATTTCACACTGCAGGCTTTGATGTTTTAAAGGAAGATTTTACATACAGCCATTTTTTATTTAAACAAAACACTAATGGTATAAAACGCGAAAAATATTAAAATATTTCAAAATTGATTTAACAACGGCTCCCCGTGACCACAACAAAGCAACCGAAACGTCGGGCCGTAGATGAATTAATTTCAAATAAGTTTAGTCAATACATTTCGTATTTTAAACAGTTAAGAGTGTTTTATTTAAATGTTTGTACGCGTAAAATGGAGTAACCTTCGTCCCCTCGATTACTTACTTGTTGCATTACTACACTCTACAGGAAGGTTTCAACATACATTTATTTCCCCAGAACTTATGCATATTTCGGTATCACTGACATTTTCACTTTAGAGACCGAGTGCGGGTACGGGCGTGTACGATATCGTGTTGGGTGCGCACGCTTGTCGCACGCTCATTTCCCATGCGTTTAATAGTTCACCGACTGAGCATCGCTTGGGCAATCTGTAACATACAATATACACTATATAGCAATATGTTTTGAGTATCATATACAACATTTATTGAGAAAGCATATTACGGGAGCTTGACCACTTTGCTCCAACTTTTCACCACGAGTGATTCTGGTCTTAACCATGAGGATCCTCACGACCAATACTAATCATTTAGAAAACAGAAAAGGCTATGGACAATTTTATTTATAGTCTGTGGCAGTATTAAAAAACAAATCTATACTAATATATAGAGCTGAAAAGTTGGTTCATTTGTTGGAACGCGCTTATCTCGGGAACTACTGATTGGAATTGAAAAATTATTTGTGTGTTGGTCGGAGATGGAACCAAGGAAGGCTAAGGACTTTAAATCACCCTGTGACCAATATGTGTGAAGAAACAATAGCAAACGTACAAACGGGGAAAATTAGTCATCTTCGAGATTTTCCGTCGCGTGCGCTGCAAAAACGTTTCAACATACCCAAAAACTATTCTACGCGGACGAAGTCGTTGGCACAACTAGTTTTTTAAAAATAAGTAATATTTTGTTGTTCTACGTTGCCATGGTTACACTTATAATTGTCTATAGTACTACATGTATATAACTTAAAGAACAACTAACTAAAACTCACTTAGCACATCTAGCGTCCATCGCGCGTTCGACCCTCGCCAAAAAGGGGTGCGGCTGATCTGGACGTGACGCTCGTGGGCGTAGCCGTGCAGGGGCAGATAATGGATAATCTCTCGGCACCGACACATGGACAGCCGCGACACATGGTAAGCGGGCGTCATCTAATTGCGCAGTAAGAGTAATGGCGCCTTCGCCCCCCATTAGTTGTAGAGGATCCAGTGATACCTGAATTTAAAAAGATTATATATATTTTTTTTGTTTTTTTAATGGTCTACTGAAAAAAGGACAATAAGGCAATCAAATTGAATAAATATTATATTGCAATATTCAATAAAATACAACCAACCTTAAACCTCGAGTCGAGCCTGGCGATTTCGCCTTGCAACACATCAGGTATATCCGACGTTGGCTCTTCGTATTTGGCGAGTTTCTGTGGCGCTGGTAAATTTCTGAAATTCGAGGCAAAAGTGAAGTGAAAAAGCGTTGGTGAATTTGAGTATATAGTTCAATCTCTTGATCCTTAAGCCAGATAATTATTTGCCAGTTTTTTATATTGAGACAATTTAAACGCATATATATAATATATACTTACTTAATCTCTGGTCCATTTAATGCATCGAGGGTGGATCCAAAAGTTCTTTTGAGGGTGTGATTTGCCAGTGGACTCGAGAGACAGTTGTTTACCACCTCCAGGAGAGGATTGAAGATTTGTTCCTGAGGAGCAAAACAGTTTTGTAATATAGATAGATGTACGTTTCTGCAACGTAAAACGACACAATTGACAAAATTCATAAGAATTGAAAACATATCTGGATCAAGTAAGGTAAGGGAATGAATTTATTGTTTAAAGTATATAGATGTTTTAAATTTTAGAACAATACAAATCCAAAACACTAAAGTACCTTTCCAGCTGGTGGAAGCCCAAGTCCCAAGCCTACACCTTCGCTTCGCTTGAAATCCAGCTTTTCCAAAACTACTTCACACTTGATGAGGGTTTCTAGTGGCATCCGTTTATTGGGGTTCGATAAGATATCGAGGAGATTCTTCATCTTCGTTAATTTCTCCACATCTATAGGAAATAGTTTAGTTTATAAAACAGTAGTACTTATCATATGTTGTTTTCGTTGAAACTTAAAAGTTTGTTCTTTGCTCATTTATTTTTAATTGAACCTTTCTCCTGACTAAAATATAAATAATAATTTGACAGGAGGATGTTTTACTTTAAATTTGATTTCATTTCTTTATTCGGCAGTAGATAGAGAAAAGATTAAATTACTGCCATCTCTCTTCTCAACTCACTTTCTCCCTCGTTAACCATCCTCATGACCATGCGCCGCAGAGGCTCGATGTACTTGGAGAGCTGTCGCACCTTCTCTCGGTAGGCTGCCTCTTCACCCCCCGGGGAGGCCACGCTAGCACCCACGGGGGTGTTTAGAGAGGACGAAGGAGATGCGACCATGCCCATGTTCACACTGTACATAAATAAATATTTATATTTTCATGTTGCGTTGCATACAAACATAAGAAACATGGTTGTTTTATGGCAGAGTTTGAGTTTGATGTGAATGATCAATCCTCTATTCACACATTTTTTTCAATGATTTTGAAATCCACAGACTGAAACCGAAACGCGATTAAGCTTTACGGCTTTTTCATCTGTGGACGGTGGTTCGTGACATGGACGGTGGTTCGTGACCGGGACGGAATTTCTATACTGCTACCTATTAATGCACCTATTTAATATCCAGATTTCCAGATGAAATCCAGCATATTTCAGAAAAACTAAAATGAAAAATTAGAAACTTATTTAAAATTAGAAATACTGGGCATCGTGGGGATCGAACCCACGTATCCATTGCTCATTAGCCATACATTGATATTATTACCAACGAGCCCGTCAAACCAGGATACTTACTTACGTACGTATTTGTAAAGGCAGTTTTTACCCAGATGTATGTTTCTATTCATTCAAAATAATTCTTATTATTGTCTTCAAGGTATTATATTTTTTAGTATATTATTAATGAAAAAAGTTAGTACAATTGTCTATTTTTTTTTTAATAACTAACCGTTGTTGCAACCCCATATGTGGGGCAGATGGTGATGGGCTGCCAGCTGCTCCTCCGCAGCCTCCCAGACTAGACATAGGAGAAGCCAATGCTCCACTCAAAACTCCTCCACCTGTAAGGGGTTGAATGTTTCAAAAAAATAAAGCAAAATTTACTTTTTACAATTTTCGTTCTACTAACAAGATGCACACAACACAACTGTAGTTTACTCTGTAAAAAGGAGACTTTTTTTAATTTAGCTTTGTTTACACTTACCCATAGATACAGGACTAGGTCCACCCATGTTAGGCGAAGAAGCGGACGGCGATGGGCTCTGTCGTAGGAACTGACTGGGAGGCGGCGCACGCGCCGTGTACCCCCCGCCCATGAGCACGTCAGGCTTGCCCCCAGCCCGGCTGTGCATTTGAAGCATGTTCATATTCACCATTTGACTGTTGCCCATGCCACCAACTGAAATATACAATAATAAAACTTTTGAAATTCAGTTTTTGTAAACATATATACAGATAGTGAAAGTGTTTTAAAAAGTAAATTGATAACAAAGTGTGCTGCTCAGCTGATCATATTTTTGTACTCTTATTGTGTCTAATATTTTGAAAAAAAATTGCAAAAATCAAGTTTTGTTACATCAAATTATATAGATTAATATTTAATGCATGTAATGCAACTGAAAACTCACCCATTTGATTGGACATTTGTCCCTGCATTGAACCTGGCACCATTTGCCCACTCATCCCCCCAACAACCTGGTTACACTGCATCTGGCCCATATTATTCCCAGACATTGGCACCATGATATTAGACATTGACATATTTGGCATCATTGTTTGCATACCAGCTCCCATTTGCCCTTGCTGTTGAGCCATAGAGTTCCCCATTCCCATTCCTCCCACCATGTTTCCCCCCATCTGTCCCTGATTCGGCACCATTCCCATGGGCCCCCCAAGTTTGGATTGCAATTGCATGTTTAACTGAGGTCTCTGGTTTAAAGTCTGGAGTAAGTTTGTTGCTGTTTGGGATTGTGGACCACCTTGAGAGACTATTGGTCCCTGTGGCCCCATTTGCCCCTGCATCATTCCTGAGTTAGGCCCCATGACTCCTTGCTGTTGCATTTGCCCCTGCCCCATGTTCATCATCTGATTTCTTGTGCCCTGAGAGGCCATATTCTGTAGAGCATTTATAGGATCTGTTGCCATTCCTGGTTGGCTCGGCCCCTGTGGTTGTTGTCCAGGTTGGTTTTGTACCTGGGGGTTAGGCCCCTGTTGATTTTGGTTTGGGCCTTGCATGTTCGGTGCTCCCTGATTTTGCTTTGGTTGTGCTAGATTAAATAATATATATTTGTTAGCCTTTTCCTTTTTGTTAAGCATAAATGTATGATATTGATTTATATTAGGTTATAAATTAGTTATTTAAGTTGTTTGTATATACTTACACATTTCTCTCACATGTAAAATTAGTTTTGCAATCATATTCATATAATCCTCTCTAGTTTTAGCTTTCATAAACACATGGTTCTCCATCTCACTGCTATTACGTGCCACTTGCATGCCTGATCGTTGGATCACTTCCTCACTACAGGTAAATAACAAAAACAAAACATGTTAAATAATATATCACAGCAAAATTATAAGAGAGTTAAGTAAGTTATATTAGTTGGCACTTTGACAAGTATTTCAGAGTCTGTTTACTGTAAGCAAAGGAAGCTACAGAAGTGGTTAGGTAGGTAAAAAGTAAGTATCATTTCATCAGGAATTACATTTAATATTTTCCTGTTAATTATGCTTTAGAATAATAAGATAGATAGTTTTTATAATTAAACAAGCATAGTCATGTTAGGGTCAGTATCTTTATAATGTTTTATGTCTCCGTACCCAAACCGTAAAATGTTTCATATAAATATTCGGAATACACTGCTCGCGTAAAGTACAGATAACTCTTACAATATTTTAGTCACATAACATATTGTTTGTATGTACGTACATTTTTGCGACAATTCCTTGACGGGAGCTCTGCGTGCGCCAATTATCGTCGGATGCCATTGTGTTTATATGTTTTAAATTCAAATTATCCATTCCTAGCAAACCGACGCCGATAAATCAATACTCACAACTTCTAAACATGCACTAATCAAAAACACTACTTAAACCTAATGAACCTACAAACACTGTTATTATTGTAGAGATTAACTAATAAAAGATTTACATATTAAACACTCTTGATGTACTTCTATAAAAACAAATTGATGTTTTGACCACTCTACAACCAAATTATATTTTTGCTAATAAATTTTAATTTGCAAATGCTTAGCCCAATGCTATCTTCATAAAGCTAAGCTATGGACTATATATAACTATGTGCCGTCAATTGTCACATAGATAATAATATTATGTCAAGTTGATATTGTGTTACATTTTGTGTTTTGCTTATTTCTGTTGCTATAGTTTGTAACAAGTGTATAATATTGGTATAATCTATGGTTTATTGTTTGCTTTATAAGTTTATAATCTGTCTTTCCTGGCTGAATCTAAGAAATAAAAACAAAAATATACGGTTCAGAGTTCAGACTAGTTTTCAATTTTTTAAAAGTTTAACACAGTTTTTTTAGTTTTCATGAAACTAGTTTTATTACAAAAAGTTGAGCGGTGAAGTTATATTTCCGATAGAAGCTTTTCCTGATTAGCGCCTGTTGCAAATATTTCGCGCTCGACATGGCTTCTTCAACCGTTTTGCGAGTAAAACGTAGACTGGAAGATAATCCTCAAGATGCGTTAGTTCTGCTCTGTAAACGCAGAAAGACAGATGAAGAAGAAATATCGCCTTCCTTATTCGTTTTCCGTGGGAGCGTAGAGAACCAGGTATTGTAATTTAAGGTTAGGTCCCCTTATGATTTTTAGAAATTTCTTTTAGTTTGCTTCATATTAAACTTCTTACAGGAAGCAAAAAATGTCATTCAAATAGTGCCAAAAGACATAAAATTAAAGCCAAAAACTGACGTAGACGATATTATAAAAAAGATTCGTCAGGAGCGCAAGGAAGTGTCTTCAGAGAACCGTTATGAAGTGGTAAACTGCTGTAGAGGATTGAAAGATGATGCTGTCAACCTAATAGATTTGAAACAGCTAGGAGAAGAGTCAGACAATGTGAAATATACATATGATCTATATACTGCAATTAAAGAAGATTTTGATATATCAATGCTTGATAATTTAGTTAGGTTAGTATTCTGTGGCTAAAATGCATGTTAGCATAAGTTTTTTTTTGCATTAAATTCTCTGTGAAAGTAGGAGTTTAAAGAAAGTCCTGTTTTCCCTACATGTGTCTTGGTACATCATTTGAGGTATCCTGATTCATATTTGAATAAAATAAAAGGAATTGTGAGTCTTCAGGTTAGATGTTATCTGCTATTACATCATCTTACAGGATTAGTGTATAATAAAGAGTTATATTAAATTAAAAGAAATGGATGTTAAAAATGATTTTGGAGTAAACTCAAAATCCAGGGCCTAAATGAAATAGATGTATGTACATTTTTCATGTATTTATTTTTAGGATTCCATTCCTGTGTTCGCAAAGATGGTCTGACTTTGAATATTTATATGCCATATATCTTATTCCTTAACAATAGATTATGAGGTCCATTTAATTTTCATCTTCTTCCATAGACTTCTTGCAGAGAGCTGCAAGAAGTTTATACAAGATAGGCCAAACCAAATGGTAGTCACATAAAAAACTTTACATAAAATAATATTAATAAAAGTTAAAAATGTTATAATTTCCCAGACTCTTTCTTATTACTTAATATACCATTTACCATTACGTTTCTCTCCTTTTAGACAACTTCATTTCATTGATGTTTATCAAGACAACTTGATTTTCCAGCATAGAAAACTACGAGACAGATTTGATCCTCGGTACATATAGGGAGAATGGTCAGGACTCCTCCGATGCAGCAGATGATGATGATGACTCCAATGATGAGAACAACTGGAGAAATGATTACCCTGACTCGGAGCCAAGTAGTATTGACGAAGATGACATCATTGCAGCCATGGAAAGATGTGATTTAGGTAATATGATAAAAGTAAAATTTTTGGAATACGCTTAGTTTGCTACATTTATTGTAGTGTTGTTGATAAAATAGTTTCATTTAAAAAAAAAATTGAACCCAAAATCTTAGTTACCTTATTTACAATTTACTATAATTACAGCCCAATGAACAGACAGTACTTATAAACTTACTCATTTATTACCCTTATACCTACAAAATCTATATGATTGCTTTAACATATAAGGTAAAATATATGTAGTAGTACTAAGTATAGTTAACGAAATATCCTATAATTTTTAGATGACTTGTCAACTGAAGATGAGGATGTATATACAGATCCTCCAGACCTGTTCAATGAAGATGTTAAGAAATATGGTGCTTCATATGCTAAATATAAAGCAAAAGTATTGGCCGAAGAAAACACAATGAATGACAGCAAAAAGCTCATACATTCCACGAAAATAAAGGAGTTGGACGAAGAAAGTATAGATGGTTATAAGGATGACAGCGATGACGGTTTTTACTACGGTCAGGAGGAAGACACTGAACAGTTTTGCGAGCAATATACTTTGGATGATGTTTATAATCCAGATTGATGTTATTAGATTATTTGTTATACATGACATTTCAACAGACTATATAATTTATTCAGTGTTTCGATACTTACTCTAGTTCTTACAACCACCGTCTTGGGTGGCTCAGTGGTTAAGCGCGAGAAGTCGTGGAATCGAATCCCAGGAAAGCATTAATAGTTTGATTAGGCAGAGCATTGATTAAATGAAATTTCACTTTTACTTGTTTGTCTACTGCTTTTTCTTTAAATTATAAAGAAAGAAAGAGTCTAACTGTGTGTAAAATATGTTATTAATGTTAACATTTAGTTATCTTCTGCTAACAGCGGATCCAAAAGATAGATTGTGTTATAAAATTCCAACAAAAGGGGTTCTATCATATCTCAAGTTTTTATTAAACTTTGTCTTTTAAACAAAACGTGTATAGTAAGTATTCTCATTCGAACCTCAAAAACGACACAGTGTATTAAAGGAGAAAATTGTAGATGGTTCCGCTAATCACGAGATGGCATTAGAATAGCCCTTAAACACTTGAATTTTATAATTATGTATTGTAGTTACAAGATGGCGTTGTAGTCAATATATTTTACCCCTTACAAAATATTGGACTTTAAAGTATATTGAAGTAAAACCACATAAGTAATATCAGATAAATAATAATTTATTGTCTTGCATATATTTTACACTAAATGAATTACATCACTTTACGTTATCACTTAACAATGGCGCTACATTTATTGCCTTACTGTAGTCTTTGTAACTAGGAATAGCAAAATCATCTTCTATCTCTGTCGCTCCAATTTATTTAACAGGAAAATGACAAAGGCAGAAAGTGACAACACTATTTCGTGTACTCAGAATTTGTTTTAGTATTTACGTTACTCCATAGAATAAATAAATTTAAGACGATACTAATTTCCAAGACTTAACACAACATAGCTTATATATATCATAGCTTAACTCGCTAAGGATGACCAAACCGATAATAATGTAAATACAATTTTAATATATAAATAACCAACAAAACTTTTAATTATATCAAATGTATACGTAAATATTTCCACTTTAACTCAAACACATGGCTGTATGGAGTAACGTTTTATAATAAAATTAATTATAATGATGCAATATACTTTGGATGAACGGATTAAGGTTGTATTCGAGTTTCTTATAATAAACTTTTAACATAGTGACACATCATATGCTTAGATTTTAATGTCATGATAAGAATACATAGATTCCCGAGTTAATGAATCAGGGGACTTATAATCGAAAGTGCCCTTTGTAACAATAATACATTTGTTACGTGATAGAGACCGGAAATTAATTAATTAAATTTGAAAATACGTTTGTAGAAATTTCATGACTCAAATTATTAGATCGTTATTTCATTTAGTATTACAAAAGAACTACTATGGTATCCTATGTTTATATAATGCAATGTATATGGCATTTATTGTTTATAAAAATCCCCGAGTCATTAGTATAGTTGATTATTTGACGTTATCCTGATGTTGCCACATTCGAGACTTATTCCAAGTTAATGACAAGCACGAACGACACGTAAATAACCTACGGAATAAGTCTTGTATTCACTTAAATCTAATTACAATTAGTGAGATATCTATAAATGCATTACGAATTAACCTAGCGAATGCTTTGGCATAGACAAAACATGGTACCTTGCTCTTAAGAGGAGGCCGAACACGTAAACGCTATTTGAGAATATTCATATGTCCCTAAAATATTGTCCCTTACGCGATATGAAAGTGTCAATAACTGAAGAACTTGATTGAATTAACGTTATGGAAAACTAGTTATAGAATCTATCTAAATTTGAAATAATGCTTACTCATCACATATCGCTATCTCTTTCTGCAAAGACCAAAGAAAGGGACAGCAACATTCTTCTTAACGTTCAAGTCATCCGCCATTTTGCAAACGCGTACTTGACGTTCAATTTTTTTGTGGCATTTTTAACAATCAGTATCGGAAATAAGCTTAGAGCTTGCAGTGACCATCGTGAATGATATTGCATCGGATAACTACATTTTTTAATTAGAAGTAATTGTCATGAGCACGAGATTTCCGGTCAAGATGATTAAAATATACCCTCGTTGGGGCAATATCCTTGTTAAAGGGAACACTGGTTGGTAAGACGTGAAATGAGCATTTTATTGCTTTGCAAATAGTGGTTTTAACTTTGTGAAATTAAATTGGTATTTTAAGAAGCACGAAGAAAGAAATTAGTTACACTTGTTGTCTTACGTCGTAACATGGTTATATGACCCAAAAATGGTATACATGTTATCGTTTGTCCTACTCGTGGGATTCGGAAATCCTTCAGATATTCAACCAATTTAACTCCACAGAGTCATCTTAGATTTAACATCAAACAAAATAAACAACAAAGAAAGAACAATCTTACAACGAATGGTAATAAAATTTAGTTATAATGCGATAATATCTTTACAATTATTTACAATTTTGGTATTAACGTATACTAGGACGAAAAAGATTAACTTTACATAACAATAACTACTACCGAACAGAAATATGTACACTAGCCGAGATTTCACTTAACGCTTCAGTCTACATTGCATGAAGTATCGATACATCGATTGATATGGATAATCGATATTTCTATAGTAAATATTGCACGAAAAAATTTCATATCCAAAGAGGGGTTAAATGAAAGCGAAGCGGATATAGCTGATTTAAATTATTTTAAGTTATAAATTGCATGAGGCTTTCGTTGGTTTTTGCATGGGCGTCGTAATTGAGGAATGGCGAACAAAGTTTCACCATAACGAGTGGAGTATTACATCTAGAGATGTGGAAAGGGAAGAACTCGCCTTTTTTTTCGCCGAAGACCATTTCTCAGTTATGACGACTGTGCAGTTCGAAAACCCAAGCTTTAATTCAAGATATGTTTCCAATTTTTACAATCCAATTTTAACCTCGTGTGAATGAGTTAGGAGAATAATATCAAGGTACAATAGAGTATAGTTTGTCTATTTAAAGAAGATACTGAACCACCATTCAATTGTTCTTAAAGATAAGAAAATTATATAAACCACTCTTAACGCGTTAGGTATAAGTTAACTAATATTTTTGACGTAAAACACCTTTAAATGTCACTACCGTACACAAAAGACGTATAGAATAAAATTTAAATAACTTGTATAATAAATGAAAGTAGATACGCTTTGGGTACTTAAGGACCCAGTGAATCCAGTATCTACTTTCATTTATTAGACATAATTCCGATTTTTCATTTACCGACTATCTGTGGCATTTTTGTTTATGGCAATCACACAACGGGGGCGTCGCTCACGCACGCGGGCACGTTGTTATTGGCCGCGGCGTCCTGCGTAGCGGCTTTGCAGTAGAACTGTTTGTGCGCCTTATACGTGTTTACGTACTTGAAAGAAATGTTGCACGATTTACAGTAGTTGGGCGTATCTTCGTCGATCTCTGGTTCCTTTTTGATGTCAGCTGGAGGTATGGGGGAGGTCTCCTCGGGTTCAGGGTCCTCGGTAGCGTGGACGAGTCGAGCGTGACGGACGACGTTGCCGCGATACGTCGATGTGTAAGCGCAGCTGGTGCAACGGTGTATCCGCTCGCCCACCGCTGGACTAGGCGATGTTGTCTCGCGGTTGTAGTCTTCTAGGACGCACGAGATGAAGCTTTCCTCCTGGAATTGACAGAATCACAATAAGTAACAATAATAAAGCCTTTTTACATATGTACTGACATTGGATTTAACTTTGATCCGGATTTTAGATTTACGTTAGAGGTGTATTTTTTTTATTTCTGACTTCGGATATCCAAAAGCTATAAAAGGCAACCTAATTTCTAAAAGAAGCATATATTCTCAGGTATTAATTTACGGTGACTCTGCTTTCATAACTTTTTTACTACATGTCACTTGTATTATAGTGCCAAGTTAATAAATTATACATAACTACCTATAGTTTCATAGAGTTGCTGGGATAACTAGATCATTTGTCTATTCAGATTCTCTAGATAACCTAGATAATTTGAAGAGTCTATGAGTAGATTCTCACCTGTAAATCAGCCGGTTTCTCCCGGAAGTGCATGCGAATATGTGTGCGCATGCCTCGCAGCGTGTTCCCTCGATATCGACAAATTGTGCAGCGGAAAGCTTTCACGCCGGCGTGAGCTTCCATGTGTCTTTGAGCGGCCGCAGCCGTTGGCGACACCACCTCGCAACACGGACACTTCCACCCTCCTTCAGATCCAGACGCTGGCCTGGGTATTTCCGGTATACTCCTCGGCGATCGCGTCTCCCTCTTAGTGCAGTAGTACAGTTGGTGCGTCGTAAGATTGTCCAACGAGCTGAAGTGTATGCCACAAGCTAGGCAGATCAGTTGTCTATACTGTGGCGGCGGGCCGGGTTCCGGCGGCGCTGGACTCACCCTCTCATCGCCGCCTCCGGCTGAGCAATAATGCCTCTTGTGAATACGATAGTTCTCATATCTACAGAAAACGATATTGCACTCTTTGCACTTGGACACTCCTTGTTTGACTAGCACTTGAGGAGAGGGAGCCGTGACTGGCAATTCTGTTGGCAGTCTCAAAGCCAAGGGCGGAATGATCGGTGATGGCACCACTGGTGGAAATTTTTCTTCAGGAGGTGAGGGGACGCTGGGTGGCTTTGGCGTAGGATCTCTTGAACTTCTTCGCCTTCGTTTCGGAGAGCTTTCTCCGCTCGGAGATGAGGACAGTCTTGAAGGTGAAGGCGTTGCCGGCGAGCCAGGAAGCGATGGGGCGCATACGATTTGCTCAGGCGTCGCAGACCGTATTCTGTTTTCCTTCTCATGTTCATCGGTCGTCGCCGACTCTGGTGACCGTCTAACGCTCAGATCTAAAGGGGTGGAGGCATCTCGGGATGGCTCACGAGTTCGGTTAGCAGACTTCAAGACTTCAGCTTCCTTCCCATCTGAGTTTAGGTTTGGCAAATGTCGATTAATCGGTTGAAATGTCCCGTTTGGTAACAAAAAACATGGGGTGTCAGGATCCGGTAACGTCGTACCGGGTAGAGTACTGGCGCTGCGCAGAAGAGAATAGGGTACAATTAAGATCGGATTCGTCGGCAACGCTAGAGCATATTGATTTTGCGCAGGCGGGGTTGTACCCGGAGATGGGGGTGCAGAGCCTGACGTCGCGGAGCCCGTTCGAGCCGCCGCTAACACTTGCTTAACAACTTGTCTTGTGTTACAATAATGGGCTTTGTGAGCTCTGAAAGTTTTGACGGAGCTGAAGTGAATGTCGCAGTCAACGCAATATCTGTCTTGGGTTGGTGACTCTTCAGTAGCTTCGCCGTTTGAGGTAGGTGTCGGGGCCGGGGTACCGCTGCTGACGGGGGACGACGAATGCATTCGCATGTGACGGTTCAAACTGACTTTCCTATCAGCACTGTATGAGCAATACGTGCATGCGAATTGTTTACTCGTGGGTCGATTAGTTTTAGCATCGCCGGATTCTTCAGTAGTCTGTTCATTGGAGGAATCATTGTTCTCCGTTTTAGACCGTCTTTTAGAGCAATAATGTTCTTGGTGAGCCTGAAGAGTACTTAGAGAGGAGTAGCGTATCCCGCATGGCATGCACTTGTAACCGGGGGGACCGGCCACCGCTGCTGGAAATAATGATGGAAAGTTTGCAGCCGTGAGAGCAATGTAGTCCCGGGCTTGTTGGGACGGCGGCGGTGGTGGAGGAGACGGCGACGGCGGTTCATGTTTGAGGGCGGTAGCTTGAGGTGCCAGCGCCGGATCAGTGGCTAAATTCGTATTCAGTCGCAATTTAGGCGGCGACGGCGCCGGTGAGCCCTCAGAGGCTGGAGAGGCGCCGCCGCTGGAGGCCACGCGCTCACCCCCCGAACTTGGCGTGCGAGGTTCTGCCGGCATCGCCTCGGTCTCGTTTCCCCATTCCTCGTCCTCACCTATAAAAAAAGACACCTTTAATCGCACGCCACTCGTCTGCAGATACGCAAATGGAATTCTAAAGCGGAATAAGAACAAATCGATATCGGTTCCTATTAGCGTTGTTAATAGCTGAGCGATGCTAGGTTGGCAGCGGTTCTCTCGCGATAGTCGTCACTCGTCACGTTTCGCCCGCTATCAGTGGACGTCAGTCAGATCGGGCTTCGGTCGAGGCATACATTAGCGCTCCTAATTGAGACGTGCTCGCGGTATGTAAATCTCGCCGCGTGGGTGGGGAGAGTACGAACGTCGTACTAGGATGCAGAACGGAATCGAGGGTTCGATCTGTCAAAGCGAACTCGTCAACGTTGCGCGTGATTCCCGCTTCGGCAAACAGAACAAAAAGCTAACGGGCGCCCTTGTAATTGGATCTGATTTCCAGAAAGCGTTCGCTCACCTTCCTTTTGGAGTGACAACGATCTCGAGCGAGCGAGGAATTAACCTATCTTTCGCGCAGCGATCTCGGCTCAAAACGCCAATTAATGAGAGGCTCAACTTCATTCTCCTGCCCCTGTGAAGATCATTATATGGGCACGACAGCGAGATGGACGCGACGATTGGCGCGCGCCGACCGCCATCTCGCGGTAACGAATACGCTCGAATCGGATCGCGTTCGGGTCACGCTATCCTAGGCGCAGCCGGTGGCGATTCGCCATTGGCCGGGTCCTCGGTTTATCCGACGCGGCCTTAATGTCCGCGTCATAGGGAGAGCGGGTCTATCGCGGTTCGTTAGCTGCGTTCGAGCTCCCGTTTTTCGCTAAGTAAGTTATAAGTTGCGATCGTTCAGAGGTTGAATGTTCAATCAGATAGATGGCGTGACTCGGTGTCGTTTAAGCGACGTTCGCGGACCGAACGTCGATTCGTTAAATGATATTCATCAGTGCCCTTTTGTCTTTATAAACATGTCAAATATAGTGGCTAAAAGCTCTTTATGCGAGAGCAGACATGCAAATAATTATGTATTTTGTTGGAATCGTTAGGAGCCCGCATCGCTTTGAGAGCGACGACTAGACTGTGCGATGCTACTGGTATTTTATCACCAAAACGCGTTCTAAACTCACAACTTTATAATTCAAAAATATAAACATTAAGGTGAATTATTTCGATAAAATGTACATAAAACACAAAATAACATGTTTAATAATAAACGGACAAGCAATAAATAAAAGTAATGCCGTTGAAATCGCTTAGCATTCAATGTTCCAAACGTCCAAACAAGCCACAAACACTATTAAAGTGCCATTCAAAATTCTATAACCCGGCCGACAAGAGAACACGTGCCCAAAGAAAAAAAACAAAAGTCGCCATCTTGTCCTTACATTTATCAGATGGAAGATCGGGCTCCAATTAAAATAGTCGTGCATCGAGTCGGTCACAATCGAGTAGATTAGGATCTGTGACGGCGGTGACCGATCACCTAGTTTGTTCGATATCTGATACCACTACCTGTGATTTTATATGCCTCCATACATATTATTAAACACCCGAACAGTTTTGTTTCGTCGAATCGGACATGAATAATCGTTGTGACTAACAATGTCCAGCTTCACATCTTTGATCTTCCCTTGTATTGTTTTCCCGCCATGTCGATGACAATTGACAGTTGCTTTTCAATCGATTCATGAATATCGGTACTTTTCTTTTTGTAACTTTGGTGTTTTTGCTTTGGTTAAGTTAAATGTAAATTTAATAAAGGAAATGTGCTCCTTTCCACCAACACAATACAACCAAACGTAATATTATGATTGCTTAGTACATGAAGATGGACGAATATTGCTTACTTTTTTGTTGTAAAAATTAGTCAACAGATTTTTTATTAACATCTAGCAGTGACCTATTTCTCAAGACATTATCCAACGATGCCTAGTATGTTGTATACTAATAACCCTTAAACACCGGAAAAACGAATAATTGTTTTGCTCACATACGGCAGAGAGCGTTGCGTCGTAATAAGTATATCGGTCCTATGCCCCACAATGGAACGGGAACTTAATTTCTTAATTAAATTTACGCTTTGTAGCAAGCGCATTTATTAGTCTTGTATTATTCTGCGCACCTTTTTAAGTGAACATTATCTGTGGCAAGTACAGTATGTATTGTGTATCTGTAGCTGGCGATCTTGAGCGACAGGACGTCGTGTGTCACGATCAGACATTTGCATATCGGTTCCGATACTCAGCTGTTACTGGCAATACTGGCCGCTACTTTGCTGATTTCAAGTGTAAGCTTCGTTGCTTGAGAACCGATTAACAACTACACAAAATATAGTCAATGCAAATATCATAAGTGGTGGCACTTATTTTTTTTAGTCCTACGGGTACCGAGCGACTGTTCTCAAACTAGTGATAGATATCAGCAGAACAATTGGTCCCCAAATTAACAAGTAGGTACAAGGAAGGAGTGTTTTTTGTTCTAAAACTACCTAATAAGTCTATTTGCCAACTTATTTCTGAAACAATTTTTTTACATGAATAAAAAATGTTACTTAAGGAAATATAACGAAATATCGAATGTTTTGTCTCTACTTCAGTGTTAGTCGAAAAATATTTTAATGACGCACGTAACTCGTCCTAAACTATTGGCTAAACTAAACAGATCGTGCGATAATAATAGATAAATTAGCGATGAGAATAAGAAATATTCACTAAAACTAACCTAACGCCTAAAGTAAAAAAGGGTCCGCGAAAAACAGTGTCTTCCAAGAAATTGTGTGGAGTGCAAAAACGTCGCTCCGCAGTAGATAAGCGCTTCCTGGCACGTCCTGTATAAATCTGGATGTCGTGTGGCTGATAGCGGACACAAGTAAATCAAATTATACTCTATGGTCACCGTTGTCTATGCGTAGAGCGAACATGCGTCAAAAGGAAATACTTCAAAGGTCGCATAAAATAATAATGTATACATTTGAAAACATTAATATTTTTCACATGTTCTAGCACATGAAGGCACTATATAATTTAAAAATCGAAATTTTTTTTCAATTTATTTTCGATTTTTAAATTATAATGTATACATTTTTTAATAATTATTACGAATACCACAATAATAATTGTAATATATTAAAGAAAAAGAAAAAAGTAAAGATTTAACATCCCGGTCTCAAGTCGGGGCTTAATTGCTTACCACCAAACAACTATTTTGTTATCTATATATCTGTTAACGAAACACTTGATCTATATTGTTCAAGCTTTATAAAAATTGTGTATCTCACTATCTGGTGTCCGAAAGTTCGTTTATAATAATGACAAACATTCAGGAAATGACAAGAAAGGTACAATGTTATTGTATGTGTTTGTTATTTTGCTGTTGAAATTAACTTAGTAGTAACTACTAGATACTTTTGGACACAAAAACTGCTGAAGGTTCTCTGATAAAACAAAGTAAGTAAAAAGTATCGTATCATATTAATATGCCAATGAACGCACGCGACCGCGTCTTCTATGAACAATCTTATCGTCGCCATCACATTTCAATTTAACAATAAACAAAATACGCCATTGTGCAAAACGAAATCTAAATGCTGTTTCGCGTAATCATAAAATCAGCTGCAGCGGGAATAAATAATGACGTATGCACTTCCCAGTTGTCTATCGGTCGATCTTTTGCGGAATACTCCACTATCGAGTTTCGCGAAAATTGTAATCGAATCGCGCGTGGAATAGTTGAATACGCGAATTTAGAGGCCGCATCTCATTTTGGACGGAATGGGTCCTGCAGTGGAATCTCAACAATAACTTGGACAAATGAAATTTTGAATGAAGCTCTCATCATCTAACTGTTGTTTGTAATTTACGCGAGAAGTACCCAGTCACATTTTTAAAGGTTTATATCTTAATTAGTTAATGTCTTTAACGAATATAGGTTTTTGTAAACCAGATAAAACTGTTTATAGTTATTAATCTCCTTCGTGCAGTCACAAATAAATAGATATACACACAGTACACTATTAGTTCGTAGTAGAATTAAGGTGGTTGTGCAATAGGTATACTAGTGTAATATGTATTTAAATAGATGTGTATGTGTTCTCATGTTAACATTTGAAATGTTAATTTGGATTTCATTATTTCAGGTAGGCGTTTCTGATCCGACTGTATTTTGTCAGATCAGACTGTTACATGTCCCTTATATAGTAAAAATCTATTGGCGATTTCTTGTTTAAGTGTGCCCAATGTGTCTAGAGCAATGTGTCAAAATAGACATTCAGCGTCTATACATGTACGTATAAGCAGTGTCGAGTGTTGTATTGAGAATGTAATCGGTAAGCAATCGATTTTTAATACTCGATCTATACGCGGCGATGTTCTCGATTCGTATAATTAAAATCGAGATCGATTCGATTGGTGCTGGATTCCGTCACGTTGTTCGTCGTGAGGCCACGCCCACTTTTGACGCCTCCAGCGGTGTATGCGACTTTCTTATCGACACTATCGATAATTTCGTATCGATTTATTTAAATGGCGATCGAAAGGTCGTTGTGTTGTGTAAGCAAAAACGGTTCTAAAGCACTGAAACTTAAAGAAGCACGAAAATATGGAGTATCATGTTAGACGAGCCCGTTAGTTTAATGATAGCAGGTAAGCAATGTAAGGCTAATTAAATTAAAGTTAAGTAACCACCGAGTCGTGGGTTCGATCCCCACCGGGACCAACATGTTTCTAATCAAATACTGTAAGTTTACGCGAATAGTACACATTTATATAAAACACTTTAAGCGTTTAAAACGCGATATATTAGGTAAACTTATTTGAAAATGGTCTCTCCGTCACCACGACTGCTGCAAAGCATCCGAAACGTCGGGCCGAAGTTAAAAATCATTTTCAAATAAGTTTAATAAATGTATCGCGTTTTAAACCGTTAAAGTGTTTTATTTAAATGTTTCTAATCAATATATAATTCTTCTGTAGCATGTTAGGTTTTCTGGAAATCTGGATATTAAGGAGTAGTAGGATTATCAGAAAATCAGTAAGGCACGACCGCCGATGAAGAAACCGTGGAGTTTAATCGTGTTTCGGTTTGAGTCTGCGGATTCCGAGTGTTCAAAGCTAATATTATGTCGATAGCGCTTGTTAAGACGTCATACCTATAGCCCCCGCTATTAACATTCTATGAAGTGAATCCCCTGCATCTATTTCTTCTGAGTCCCATGTATTGTTTATTATTTAGTAGTTCCCTTCGATGGAGCAATAGTGTCGCCCTTTATTAAGGGGGGGTCATAAAGTGGCATGTATGAAGGAGGCACTCGTGAGCCGTGTTTCGTATCGTCGCGCTTTGCATAGATTAAAAAAGTCGATAGTTATGCAAATCACCGCTCTGTTTACTCGTCTCTCAGCCTTCGTAACGGCCGCTGCGCCTATCTCCGCGAACGTTTTGACGATTATGATTCTCTATTCGGCCTGGGGCTCTCTTATAATGATTCTAGAGAAAGGACTGTTTGTACCTTTTTTAAGATTTTTATCGAGTTAAACCAATTATTATTTTGAGGTTTGCCAACAAGACTCTAA